GAGAGATGCAATTGCACCCTAAAAATGAAATAATTGAGGAAGACATTGGGAAAATGATACACATGCTAACTTGTTCTATTGATCATGGTTCGTAACAATTCTCTGGGTCTGTCTATTATAGTATTTGTGTTCCATTCAAGAGATCCATTTCAAAGCAAATCTCCTGCTCTCCCCACTAAAGACACTGCTTGTCATTCCAGAAGTGCATGAACTCAATTACTCTCAGCAGAAGGGAAGTGAACAGATGTGCTCCAGGAGTGCACCAAGCACTTTTCAGACAATAAATGGGAGTGAACTCAATCCAGGGCACCAGCTTGGAGTCATATCATGGTAAAACCCTTGCAACATGTCTGGATGCGTTAGTCAGGTGCAGAGCACCAGCTGCTTTGCTCTCCAGATCCACTCACATTGTACCATAAATCTTCCTAATGCAGACATGGCCAAGTCATTCCAGAGGTTAGGAAACATCAGCCTCCCCAAGGCCTCTTTTCTGCAGGTCACAAGTGCTATTTTTCCCCAGTATACCAGGGATTGTTAATCACTGCTTGTGTTCAGACTTTCAGACACCTGACAGACAGCCATTTCATAACAGTCCTAATACATTTCTAGAGGAAAATAAAAAAGTTTTCCCCTCTGGAGGGTCTTGACTCTTTCCCAAAGCCTCTAAGTTATGGGGGTTTTCAATCTGAGATTCTTCCAAACGCAAGGGCAGCTGGTTCACTACCTTGTCCTTTCAGTGGAGGACCTCCTCATCTTTCCTATAAAGGAGAGCTCTTGCATCCCTAGCTTGTAAGGATCAGATACCACATTGACAAGGTGGGGTCAGAAGCTATTTCTAGGGCCAGGCCCTCTGCTGAGGCAGTCTGCTGTCTCCTTCGTGGAGTGTGCTGTGTCATGTGTCATCTCAAATTAAAAGAATTTGAGATTTTACGGCAAGTTGGCTGTAAAAATAAACAGGGCAATGCGCGGGTAGTTACTGGCTTGGGCTAATCAGTGAACAGAGATTTAACTTCTTGTTTGTTACCTGCTCATCCACTGACTGCTGTAGATGATATATAAATCTGTGGTCTGCCCATTACTTGCAAGAGTTTTGTTCCTTACATTTTAAATAATGTATTTTACTTTAATTTTGGTTATGGATCAAGTGAAAACTTCAAGTTCTTACAATCACTTAAATAGATTGTGATTTATTTACAATTGCTGTTGTCTGCTATTATCCAAATGACCACATAATCAGTCATTAGACAAAGTTTTCTTCTTGGTCTTTGGACTTGAAACTATAGCTATTCTGGTAGATGAGTTGCCACCTGTGTTGAAATCCATTACTTCCTTTGAGATATTTTTTTATTTGAGTAAAAGAAAGGCTCAGAGTCACAAACCACTTCCATGAGGCCATTGTCAAGTTTGGTGTAACTCTGAACGGCTGGAGAGTCTAAAGCTTTGGACACGACATTAGAATTTTAAAACTGCCAGAAATTATACTTTCACTTTGTTTTTGACTATGGGAAAAGAATGCCCATTTATGTAAACTGCAGTATACTCCTCTACAGTTAGTCTCAGTGTAAAATTTAGTTTAGTGACTTTGTATTCCAGCAGGTTCCATGAAGTTCTTGACCAGTCTTGCAGGGTTTGCACTAGTGGTTGTGATTCAAAGGACTTAAACTTTTGTTGGGAAGAATTAAAGCAACCAATGAACAAGCCCACAAAGTGAGCTGTGGCTCCAGTGAAAATATTTAGGGTAAAGATTGCTGGTTTATATTGTCAAAGAAAATACCCAGTAGTCAATGCCAGATGAAAAAGATAAAAGAATCTGGCTTCAGGTAATGACTGTCAAAAAAATCAGAAGTATTTTAAAAATAGTATACTTCAGCTTATTATGTTATAGTTTTTGTAGTCTTGCTTTTCCTCTGCAATTATGAGTATTATACTTTTTCAAATGTGAAAGCTGAACTTCTGATTTAATTCTGTAACACTGTTTTAAGAATAAGAAAAGTTCCAAATAACAGAAAACTTACATTAAAAATAGTAATAGTAAGATAAAAAAAGTCAGCAGACTTGTTCTTAAAATGCAGCTCTTTTGGTTATCAATGGTAAAGTTTCTGGGCATGTGCTAGAAGCTTCATCAAACTTCCCTCCTCCTGAAGACAGTTGATTTTTATCTCTGTTGTGATTTTGCAGCCTCCTTTTTTACCCCTCCTTGGGTTGAATTATTAATCACAACATCCCTGAGTGTTAACCCAAGGGTACTGCAGAATTTATAATCAATATCTTTTTGTTTCTCTCTTTGTTTGGGGTTTGGGGGACTTGGGGGTATGGTGGGGTTGTTTGTTTTCCTTTGTCTGGGATTTTGGGTTTGTTTTTTTTTTAACTTAGATGTGAAGCTTATGCTTTCATTTTCACAAACTGGCCACTGTGTGATAATTGGCAAATATTAGGCAAAAAGAGGATTTAATTTATTCCATCAGTAATATTTTAGTATTTATTTTAGTTATGTTGAATAATATCATGAAACACAGAGTCCTTTCTCTTCCAGACAGACAGGATAGTAGAGGCCAAGGCTTTGAACAGTGTAAGTACAATCAATATTTTGTGCCTAAGGTACAGGGTCTGGCACTTGTCAGAAAAGATGGTGAAGGACAAGAGGGAAACTAGGATTTGATGGTGATTTGCTTCCACATCCAAAGATTACATTCCAATCATTAAGTGTCACAAGAAACATGTTTTCAAAAGTGATTCGTGGTTTTTGAAAATGCATTTGTAAGTCTCTGAGTTCTCAAACCAAGGTGTTTCGCTGCAATCTGTTTTTTTCAGAGGGCTAGATGCCCATTTGTTCTACAAGCAATGATTCCTTTTGGGTTTTCAGTGTGGATGGCATCAGCCTGAGGCACCTGCAGTCAGAGATTGCCTTAGAAAAATCTTGCCTGATAAGAATCAAACTAGATGAGAGCAACAGCAGGAGCAACTTCTTAGATAATGGAAAACTGAACTATGTAAAATTATCACTGTTTTACAAAAGTACTGTGTCCAAACCCATTTCAGTGAGTTCACTTTTGATCTCAAACTGCAGTTGCCCCCAAGTGGCAAAGCCTTTGAGCTCTGCCACAGGACACTTCTGGTCTTAAAGGCTTAACTGTGTTTCCAAAATGCTGCTGGTTTTATGAGTGAGAACATCCTTCTAGAAGAAACATTTGGGAACTGTGATGATGGACCAGGGCCTGGTCCCAGGGAAGTCTTGGTATACCAAAATGCAACAGTTTGGCCGGTGATGAAATCTGAACACAATCAGATTTTACACTTTTTATGGAATATTTTGGTGTTTGTATGTCTTGAGGCACAGATGTTCAAGGGAAAAGGGACATTTTCTTTGGCTGATTCCAATACATCTTGCTGCTTGGGTCCACACTGCTCAGTTGCTGATTATTACTCTGGAAAAGGTCAATATGTGTCCTGAGCAAGGAAGGAGCTATCAGGCTTGGTTCCATGTGATACTATGAAAATAAATTTCCATACAGATTCTGATTTCCTTCAGAGTTGCACTGCAAGACAATATATTATTGACCTCAGGAGATTCAGATCATTAAACCTACATTTTACTTTTCACTTGGGGACAGTTCTCTCTACACGTCTGTGTGTGTGTGCTCCACCCCACAGAGACTATACTTACAATACAGGAGTCAACAGCACAAAAAAGGAGAATTCCTTAAATGGCAAATTGTTCTATGCCACAATAATTCATTTTAAAGTTAATTCCCGTCTTCTGCTTTCAAGTGTCAAGAACTGGTAGTTACTCAAGGTTTTTAGCAGGTGAAAGAGTAATAGTAAGACAACTTATCTTTTAAGGCACCTTTGTGTATACATGGGGAATTCAGGTTCTCCTGTTTGGTGCATTTATCTTAATTGGTAGCCTGTTGCAAAGATGTAGAAGAAAGCAAGAATAAAATAACACTTTAGCTTGGTTGAATTGTACTTCTCTGATTAATTACATTTTCGCAGGGTGTGATTAACAGAATATCCCACCCATGTTGGTTTCACTTGAAGCCATTTAAACTAAGCATCTCTGAATTAGACCATGATTCAATAGAGCGAGTGTTTTAGGGCTATAACTCCAGGTCTTGGTAACCCAGAGAATGATTCTGTTTTGGAGATTTGGTTTGGCAGGGGAAAAGTTAGAAAAGCCCTTTTATCCATCTCAATATTCACTTAACGCAGAAGCTGTCTTCCAGATCAGTACTGACCTCTCAGGTGAAGTGGTTTGACAGTTTTCCTGCTATTGTGCACCACAGCACAAATGTGCTTTTTTGATTGATTATATTCTAGTAGCAGCAGATGTTTGGAAAAATTATTGTGACCTGTGTCACCAGCTCCACACCTGTACTGAATTTAGCCAGTCTAGGAGAAAGCAAAGCAAAGTTACTGAATATATTTTCTCCTCACTACTATTTTTAAATTGACCTTTGGGACATCTAGACATCTGCAGGTGCCCTGATGCTCTCATGCTTGTTCCTGTAACCTAAAATATCACTCTCCTTGTTCCTATCCCAGATTTGCATGCACACAGTCTCTAAAAGCTTACTGAAACATTACTGACAAATAGATGTTCTTATGACCAGACCAGCTGAGACAGCAGTCAACACATTTCAATGTATTTGGTGACAGGAGCAGTTTTAGATGGTGCTATTCCTCTTTTTCTCATTATTGTTTGTGAAAGTAGCCTGTGCCGTGGCTTTCCTTCTGGTTGAGCTCTTTGTGAGACTATGGCTTGAACCAGGGTAGGAGGCTGATCCAGATAGAGTTTTCAGAGTTCTTCCTATTTAAACTGGAGCATAGATGAATAGAAAAGGAGGTATTTCAAAACAATCTATCTGAAAAGAGTGATCACTTATCATTCACCTCACTAGGTGCTCACATCTCTGTGCTGAGGTGTTCCTCTCAGCTGTAGTACTCTGTGTTGCTGTGGCTCAGCCACCAGCTTATTGTTCTGTGCCCTTCTTTTATTTCAGCAATTCAGCTTTGTCTCCCTGCCCACGGATGTCCTGGAAATAGAAGTTAAAGACAAATTTGCAAAGAGCCGACCGATCATCAAGCGTTTCCTGGGAAAACTCTCCATGCCGGTTCAGCGCCTCTTGGAAAGACATGCCATAGGGTAAATGTTGCTGCTTGCATTGTTCAAAGAGTGTGTTGCTGTTCTGAAGTCCCTGGTGATATATCATTATTGCGATATAATGATGTTGAGGGGAAGTTATTAAACTGACGCTTGTCTGATAAATGATGTTGGTTTTAATTGGACTTTATAGGACTATGGGCCAGACAGAATTCCCTCCATAACCATATGCATGGTGTTTTGAAAAGTGAAAGCTGGCATTTAGGAAAGAAAATGTTTTTTGTGTATCGTGGCTGCGAATTTGGAGAGTGCAATATTTTCAATTTGAATATTCTTTTAATGTTATCAGCAGGCTGTTTTCATGTTTCAGGGAGTTACCTATGGGCTAAAAACATGCCAGATCTGTTTCTTCTCTTTTAAATTTCTGGAAAGGGGAAATATTATAAAAATATATACGTGGCATGTTGTAACTAATGCTTTCTGACCCTACTCTGCTGCCAAGGAACAACCTTGAGCTCACAAGCGCTGCCCTGCTTCCCCATTGCATGAAAGTCCTGGGAAAGTGTATGCTGCCAAAATAACACAAACCAATTTAAGGAAGATAGATAGTAATCAGAAAAAGCCAAAAAGCTGTCTCTAAGCCTGTAACGTTTACAGGCTGAAGAGCAAGGGAGAAAAAGAATCATCTTCTGAGGAAAGCATATGCAATGCAGTTTCCAAGAAGGCATTTCTGATAATTGGATCTCAATTCAGCAGAGCAGCAGGAAGATGAGCTTGTTGGAAGTGTTTTTGAACAGCTGGTTCAGAAACTGGCTGTGATATTGACAGCTGAATCTACCAGAAGGGACTAAGCTACTTCCCTGTTTCTCAAGTAAAGATAGAGTAGCTTTTTAGAAACCAGATGGATAAGAACAGCTTTGGGAAGGTAGAACTCTGTAACTGGTATCACTGGCTTTTCTCTGTATGAGATTTCTCATCATCTTCTGATTATAACTTCCTATTTTACTTCCTTGTTGTAAACACTGTCTATCTAAGGATGTACTTTGCCAAGAGCAGTGCCTCCAACCTGCTCTAGATCTGGCTCAGTTTTAATACCATAGTGGCATTTAAATCTCAGGCAAGCTCAGTGAGAAGTATGTGCACAAGTTCAAAGAGGTTGTACGCAAATCCCAAGGTTGTCTCATTTATATGAGTTTCTGATGCATGTGAAACTGTGCTAGCAAGTATATTTGGCTCAACTGGAGGTGAACTATGTTTCTTTCAAAAGATGTATAAGTATTACTATTTAGTGAACCCGTTACACTCAAGATATGCTTTGCAAAGATTGATTCAGCCTCATTGTGGGCAGCTGGGAAGTTAATCTCTTCTATAGTTTCATTCTGTTCTGAGGGGTGGATGAAGTGTGGCAAAGGGAGGGACCTGCACAAGAACAGAATGGAGTCATTGATCAACCTTGTCAGGAAGGTGTTCTCCTGATATTTCAGCTTCATAGAGGTAAGAGGGGTGGAAAGAGATGAAGAGCAGTCACTCAGCCAGTTTAGACAGAGAAGGTGGTATGCGGGGACTGGCCTGCACAGGGTTTGGTAAACAAGAACAGGAAAGCTGAATTTTACAGACATGGTGAAGGGATGAAAATACAGAAATGTGAGGTTCTATGAAAAGGTAGATGGTCAGATCTGTAGGGAAGCAAATTCTCGTTACAATAGCTGAAGTGGGAGTTGTTTGCTTCCCATGTCGCTATTTTCATACCCATACTGCAGAAGTTTCATTCCCACCATTCTCTCAATATTTATACATATGTGCTTGTGTGTCCCAGCAGCCTGTCTTACTCACTTACTCAGCTATTCCATTGTAATTGAAGACATTGTCCTCTCCTCTGCCATTTGTTCTCTTGTATGCAAGTCAACATGCCCTCATGGCTGGGATGAATAGCCTTTATGTATTTTATTATGGATTTTTGTAGGACACAGCAGATGTATCTATGCACAGTAGACATAGGGTAGGTTATAGTCTATTGTGACAATATTTGTTTTCTTTCAGGGACAGGGTTGTAAGCTACACTCTGGGTCGCAGACTTCCTACAGATCATGTCAGTGGCCAGCTGCAGTTCCGATTTGAGATAACTTCTTCCATCCATCCAGGTAATTCTCAGTCTTAACCCATCATTTATCTAGATTTCTAGAATTTTTCTTTGTTTGTTTGCATTCTTTCTCTTCAGAAATCTGCATTAATTCCTGGCTGTTCTGAGACTTTAAGTACAGTCATGAGCAGAGGGAAGTGCATAAAGTCCTGCATCACAGGATGCATCGTGAGTCATAATTTCTTCCCTCTTTCCCCTTAGGACAGAGCTACTGGTGTCTCATATACCCCTGTTATTGACTGTTCCAAATACTCCACCACGTCACTGGGAGAAAAGAGAGTGGAAATCTGAAGTCTCATCTGCTTCTCTGTCACCTGCCCTAGTGAAAGTGTTATATGGGGTGCTATTTGTAGTCATCTGCATTTGAGCACTTCAAAAGTAAAAATGGAGAATGTAATACCAAAGATGATTAGAAAATTTCTCAATTTAATTATTTTTAATGAAAAAAGTAAAATAAAAAATAATTCTATGTCCCACTTCTTGCCTCCCTCTTGGTTTGGTTTTGGTTTGTGTTCTCTTGTAGTAATTTGGAAGTGACTGTCATGATTGCCTAAGGTTGAACTTGGTTTTCATGTCACAGTCTCAACAGTATTTCAAAGCGACTCTTTGCTTCTCAGGCTCTCTGCCCTCTCTGCTACAGTTTGTCAAGCCAAACAACAGCTGCATTAGTAGCTGGAAATCATTGCTTTTCACTTGCTGGAAAACCCTGATTTCTCTCTTTTGACTATTTGAATGGCATGAAAGAGCCGAGGTTGTTTGACATCTGAGAGGAGGTGGTACAGATGAGGATCATTTCAAGGGGTCTTTGGGGGAAGTTTTTGCCTTTCAGGGGTGACAAACACAGTTTTTTGCATTCTCTGTTGTGGAGTCTTGCCAGTTTCAGTGTGACAAGAAGACCGTTATTAAAATCTCAGAGAAGACTTCCCTGATTCCCACAGTATTCCTCTGATGCCGTTTTGGCTCAAGGAGAAGGTTCAAGAAGGTGTTACCTTCAGGTAATGCTGCAAGGAGGCAGGGTGCTGCATACAGATTACCACCATGAGTAAACCCATTATTAAATCCAATGTACAAAGACTGCCTAGCAAAAAAACCTCAGCACTTCTTTATAGTTGTCCGGTTGCCTACTCATTTCAGACTGTAATTTATGCTTTTAATTTTCTCAGATTGCTGTGGATGCTTGTGCGCCCACAGCCAACACTCTGGTTCAGTCAACACTTCTTGTTTAAAGAGTAAGTAATTCCTTTTCCTGTCTCATACAGATGATGAAGAGGTCTCCATTAGTGCAGATCCTGAGCCAGCTGACCTCCCGGAAAGCCCTGTGAACAACCCCACGGAGGAAAGCCTCGGTGAGCCTCCATGCATCAACACAGTGACCTCAGAAAGTACAGCTCCAGAACAGCTAAATGGATACAGTGTGAACAGTGTCGATAGCCCAGGGGCTGTCAAACCACCTGGGGAAGTCAACCAGAACAGCTTAAATGAAGAGCTAGCAGGAGATGGGGAGGTTGATGCGGTGCCAGTTCCTGAGCCCTTGGAATCCATCCCAGGAGAAGTACTGCCTTTGAGTGCTACGGACATCATGGAGCAGTCGGATCTGACGGCTTGCATGTCTCCTCCTGAGCCTGAAGTTAGGGAAAATAACAAAGTCAATTCTGGTATTCAGGGAGATGGTGGAGTCTTGACCAGCATAGAATCAGTAGATATTGATGAGGTGAGTGCAGATGTGCATGCTGGCAAAGACCTAGAGAAGAGTCAGGATGAAGAAGAAGAAGGGGCTTCAGCCCAGGAGGAGGAAGACAACAAGCTACAACTTAGGACCACAGCAAAGAGGAAAAACAGGCCGTGCTCCCTGCCTGTGTCTGAACTTGAGACAGTCATAGCTTCAGCTTGCGGTGAGCCAGAGACCCCTCGCACGCACTACATACGGATACACAACCTGCTCCACAGCCTGCCCTCGGCACAGATGAGCAGCGATGGGGAAGAAGAGCAAGATGGTGGCAATGGCAGGGAGAACGATGAGGAGTCTACTGTCAAGGAGGTGATGGATAAGGAGGTGGTCAGTGAGAGTGAGACCGTGGCAGCAGAGCCGCCTCTGGAGAACGAGGCTGAAGAGAACTTCAGCCAGAGCACGGTGCCTCCTGGGACCTTGGATGAGCAACTCTCTGACATGAATGATGGGCTGTTGGATGGGGAATCCCTCCGGACAGGAAGTGAGAGCGAGTCGAGCTCCAGGCCCAATGGTGACAACGAATGTGAGGCGTGTGACACCTCCTGCTACAGCCCCTCCTGCTACAGCACCTCCTGCTACAGCACCTCCTGCTACAGCACTTCGTGCTACAGCACCTCCTGCTACGACAGTAACAACCGCTTCTCCAGCCACACGCGCTTCTCCTCCGTCGACAGTGCAAAGATTTCCGAGAGCACGGTCTTTTCCTCTCAGGATGATGATGAGGAGGAGAACAGTGCTTTTGAGTCAGTGCCAGATTCAGTGCAGAGCCCTGAGCTGGACAGGGAGCAAGTGGATGGCTCCTCCCAGTGGCCAGATGAACTAGTAGCTCATGGTGGGAACCCACAGAGAGCCACAGAGGGTCTAGACACCCCAGTAGCAGGTCCAAGCAGCAGAAGAGAAGGTTAGATCCTGAGAACTGGTGCTCTGGGTGACCCTGATTATCTAGATGTCACAGAAGGCATCAGATAATTGAGGTTTCAGCTCATGGTTTATTTCTTACAAACTCAGGGGCTGTGAGCTGGGCCAGATATAAGGGAGGGTTGCATAATTGAGCCTGTCCTTAAAAATCCCAACAAAACCAACTAAATCAGGTAGGGATCCATATATGTGAATTACTGTACATATACATGCATCATTGTAAAATCAAGATCAGTTACTTTAGTTGTGTGGCAGATCAGCATTATCACATCCACCAACTCATTCCTTTTTTCCTAAGATTTTTCCATATCACATGTCTGATGTGCTGCCATGTCTCTTATGGTGAGAAGACCAGCTTGTGCTTGTTAAAGGGCAGATATGCTGATTTGCACCACATAAAGGTTTGGGCCAGTTTCTGTAAATGTTTGTTAGCCATACATAGTCATAAGCTCTTACAAACACAGTTTTCAAGCCCCATTTGTTCCAATTCTCCAAGTGTCAAACAAATGTACCTCAAATATCACAGATCATAGGGAAGCTCAAAAGAGATTTATATTTTTTCTTAGATACTTTGGAAATTTCACTATATTAAACAAAATTCTCATATCCGTATCCTTTCCTAGAGATAGAATATACTTAATTTTTTTTTTTTTTTGCCTTTGTAATTTAGGTACTGTTTTTTCCAATCCCTTAACAGTTACTTTAAGTCCCCCCTTTGGTAACTCCTTTCATGCTCACTGCAGTAACATGAAGAGGGGCAGTTGCAGTTGATCACTCCTCTCTTTTTGAGCTAGTGTACAATTTTTCTCCAGCTGAAGTAGTAAAGGACTCAGCTGCAGCTCAGGAGTATGCAGCAAGGTCAAGAGGTAGTCTTTGCACTCCCTAATTCTGAGTCATCTGTCTCCCTCTGTAAGTGACACCAAATTAAAATGGCAGCAGAAGGATAACCTATTTAGGTATCGCTGAGGAACTCCAGCCAAAGCATTCATCTGTGTTTTCCTTCTCCATTCCCAATTAATTTACTCACAACTTGCTTCACCACAGACCCTACCCCTGCAGAAAAAATTTACACCAGCCCATGTAAATACTTTGTAGACAGCTGGGACTAGGGAATTACTGAGTCTGTAGAGCAGAATCTAGTACAAATCATTAAATTTTCAGAAGTACACAGGCATAGACACCCAGCTTCCTTCCTTGCAGGCGAGAGCCTTTGCTTGTGAACAGCATTTACATGCTAGTAGAGCTAAGGGGGCACGAGCTTCTATATGTGTGAGATCATATGTGCAGGTTTGGTGGTTGTTTTGAACTGTGTGAGCTTTTGATAGGGGATGTGGTGGGAGAGGGTGTCATCTGCATATGGATTCAGTACAGTACAGCACCAAGAGTTGAGCCTCTGTAAAGGGGAGGCTCTGCAGTGTCCGTGGTGGCTTTGCCTTGTTTAGCCGAGCGTGTGTCTGAAGGGCACCCAGCTCTTAGCACTCTCTCGGTGTCCCTGGGGTGCCTCAGTCAGTGTGCATGTTGTTCCATGGCTTGGCAGCTGTCACAAATCCAGTAGACGTGGTCACCTCCACCCACTCCAGGTGACTGATGCTACCATGATTCCGCTGGCTTGGCGTAACTATCTTGACTAGGGGAGAGTCAATTGTGGTGAGGTAAGTAAAGAAACATAGGTGGGTGATCTGGTAGTCGGTGCTACACCTGTAGTAACAGCACAATTTTTAAGGCTGTGAGAGATGGACTTTTAGCACTGAGTCATAAACTTACGTAACTCTGCTGTCTGTTCAAAACATGCAGCAGATACATCTGTGAGATACGCCTATACACAAGTGGTTTAATGAAGGCATTTAACAGGCCATACGGTATCATCAGAGCACCTAGAAGGGGGAGTATTTTTATCTAAGTGATTTTTCTCATTTCTGAGAGGTGTGAGGTTTTTCACAGTTTTATACAAAATTGGCTTCTGCATTCTGGCTGTTGGTTTTTTTAAGGGAAAAAAGTATTTAATTTTTTTTTTTTTTTTTTTTTTTGGTAAATTTGTTTTTGCATTTGATTGGTATATGTTTAGGGATCTTTACAAAATGTTCATTCTTTGGCTGTTAAGATTATAACATTAAAGAGAGTTAACCAGCTGGTATATAGTGAATTTGGCTTAATTTTCCAGAATCACCAGAACCATTCAGCTTAATATATCTTTTTTCCATAAGCTGCATCTTTCTGATTCAAGTAAATATTATGTTTATGCAATTCGGAGTGTATCTGTATTAACAAGCCAAGCTGGAAGTTATAGTCAAAAACTGTTACCACTCAGTATGCAAATATATCCATTAGTAAGATAAATCGTCCTGGTTTCTAAGATTTTAGAGACAAGGCAAGAAGGAATCTTTATTCTGGAACCTGTGAAGTTTTAGCATGTTAAGTCTAAGATATGGAATACTTTTTCATCCCTACTAGAGTGTCTTAGTTTCTTAAAGGATTCTGTGAGCATTGACTTGATCTTAAGGTACTTGTTCCTCTCAACAGAATGTGAGTTTGGACATTTACTTAGGTTTCATTTATTTCATATTTAAATATGGCAGGGTAATTGAAACGAGACAATCTTTAAGGTCCATTCCAATCCAAGCAATTCTATATATGGACATATATACAATGCTAGTGTTTAAAAACTTACTCTGCACTGTATCCTGTGTGACTATTTTTCTCTTTCCTCTTCTTCTTCTGCTTCTTCTTCTTTCCCTCTTCTCTATCTTAGGTCTTCCTTCCTTATCTCAGATCCTGACTATATCTCACTATCTTTTATCCTTCTCTTCTACCACCTGTCTCCTACCTGTTTCTGGTCCTTCTCTCATTCTCTCTCCTTCAACCCAAGATGGACTCCTTGAATTTTGAAAAATACCCATGGAAGGGGATGATCTTCTGCTTTGCAGGGACTGCAAAATCCTGCCTTTACAGTCTACATATGCAGCCATTGATCTTTTTGAAAAGGAGAGAAAGATCCAAGGCAGCTTTTAGCCTTTTATTCCACTGATGGAATGAGTAAAAAGTTGGAACCAGGATTTTGCATGTTCCTGCCAGTTGCTGCAGAAGCTTGAGCTTAGTTGTACATGAACAGTATTTCTCAGAGATCAAGCCTGATTCTTCTATCGCTTACACTTGTGTGTCTGTGAGTCCAGAATCTGGCCCATAACACTTCAGCATTGACTCAAGAGACTTGCCTGCATTATTTTAATACTTCTTTGCCTTATGATTTTGCCTTCATTAAAATAATGCCTTGAAAATAGGAATACCCAGAGATGCTAGTACATCAGGTTAACCTATTTTTAAAATAATCACTTGTTTTACAGTAGCACATTTTTTGAACCACATTGTAAAAACAGTGAATGACTGTCAATGTCTTGAATATCTTGTCCATAGGTGATTGTCCTTTACTCCATAATTCTCAGCCAGTCAGCCAGCTTCCTTCTCTGAGGCCTGACCATCATCACTACCCAACTATCGATGAGCCTCTTCCACCAAGTAAGCTTTAGTTTTTTTATGTTATTGCATTTTTTCAGCTTTTCCTGTTAACTCAAACAGTGTAGAGGTCAGTATGTCTTTCTGAAGAACCCTGTGTGTTCTGTATATACGTTCTCCAGAACCCAAGCAATATGCCTTTTTGTTTCCCTTATTTGATCCTGACTTCAAATGTTGTCATGTTGTTTTGGACGAGCTCCATAACCTCCCTCTCTGCCTTCGTTCATCTTCTTCCCTGAAATGAAAATATTATTCTGTTTTTCCAGTCAGTGTGTTCTGACTTGAATGACTGGGATCTGTCAGTTGTTCTGGAAGCCTGGCTGTAAGGCTTTCTGTATGGTGTATCAGCAGAGTACTCTGATTTTTCTGTAATGTTTGTCTCCAGGTTTTCTGTAACCAACTTCAAAGATGGTTTGGGATGGCAGTCCCTGTGGTCTGTCACATCTGCATGCAGGTCCAGCAGCAGCCCTTTCACAGCGAGGATGCTCCTGGGACAGACAGGTCCAAATCTGAACCAAACCAGCAGAAGTTGGGAAAAAGCAGCTTATGTACAGTGGTCTTTTTATACTGTCTTTGGATTTGATAATCCGTGAACTTTGTGTTCATTATGCACTGCAGTGGAGCCCACACTTGCATTGAATAAAAGTGAGAGGGTTTTGAATAGTGTGATAGACTAGCAGCCTGATAATACGGGATTTTTAACACCAAAGCAGCTGCTGGAGTTGTTTTTACTCGTCTCTGTAGCCTTTTCTCTGGGGATTCCCGGAGGATTTCCCCGCTCCTGCACTGGCGTTCGGTGCCCAGCAGAGCGCACTCTGTGCCCTGCATCGTGCGGCCCATCGCCTTCAGCGGAGCGCAGGATTTCACAGCCTGAAATGTGCCGGGCCTCGCAAAAACAACCGGGCGCACAAACAAAGCGCTCTGTTTGCTTCAAAGCCCGAGACGGGAACACACTTATTTGGCCTATGGTGCCCTTGACAAATAATTCATCATTTGCCAACCATGCTGTCAGTATTCCCTGAGCTGAAAATAGCCCCGGTGCTGGCGTCAGCCGCACAGTAGCATGAATGATTCAAATGCCTTCAGCCCAATAAAGTCTTTTCAGAGTCCCACTGTGGCTTGCCAGTGAGTGATGAAATGGGAACGGTTACCTCTGTAACAGGGAAATATTTCTCTTCCTCCCACTCTTACCGCAACACTTTGTGGATTGGGCACATTCCCTATTAGATGACTTAATGATAGCACACCAACACCAGCTCAGGTAAACAGAATATACTGTAAATCTATTCCATGTTCTTCAGCACCAATTTAATACAATTTTTCCTCTTTCTTATAGTTATCCTCAAAAGGCAAGTATTTCTACCATTAGTTTTCTCAAGTGTTTTCACAACGGGGTTTAAGGACATGAAATGCAGTCTGTGATGATAAAGTACAGAAGCAATATCCCTTTGTAGGATTTTGTTTCAGCATTAGCATATAACACCATTTTTACAATAAAGGCTGACACTCTCGGCTTAAATATACTGATCTTAATAGGAGTAGATATACTAAGTTAACTTTGAGTGGACAAAGAAGTTGAATTGAATAATATAATTTAGGAAACTGATTTCCAAAAACTCTCCATGGAATTTTACTTTAATTTCAAAAGGAAAACTATATCCTTAATCTAGAAATTTTTCTTCTCCTTAAATTCAGTATCGCTATCTCAGTGCCTTTAATAACTCCTAATCCTAGATTAATAGGTCTTCAATCATGTGAAAGGAGAGAACTTTATATTTTAAACCCAAGTTATATGATCAAAGCTAGCTTACTTCTCATGGGCAATGTTGGCTTCCATCTATAAGTAGAGGTGAAGGTAATGTGCCAGTGCTGCAAGTTCAGTGTTGACTGATTTTATTTAGGTCATGGAGAATCTTCTGACCAGTCTTCTTTCTCTTTTGAATAGTTTTCTGAATAGCTTGATTTCATCATAACCCCACAACAGCTGGCCTTGAGGCGGAAATTTAATTTCAGACAGTTTTATTTGGGAAAATGAAGAGAAGAGACTCCTTATTTATGTAGGAGTTTCCTAATGACCAGTCTGAAGGCTAAGCCTGATACGAGATTAACAGAAGATTTGTGGTGTTTGCATGGCCTCATGACGGCATTACCAGTCACCCCTTATTATGCCTGTGTTTGGAAACCCTACAGAACCGAAGCCAAGAAAAATACACGTGCCCAGTTCAGAGCTGTGCTTTGCCAAAGGTGTGGCTGAGCTTGGAGAGGAAAAGACAATGCATTTTCTTTGCCCTCATGATCCTGCCAGAAAAAGTTGCATCTTCTGATACAAATCAGAGCAGTTTCAGAGGCTGCTGTGAAATATGACTTGGCTGATGGAGGGGGATCACTGGAGAGCAGAACCAGTACTCTCACATCCCTGGCCCATGCTCTAGCATGCTCTTACTGTGAAGGTTAGATAGAGGTTAGTCCTCGTAGTAGTCACAGTCTTATTTTACCTGGAAAACTTAACAAAAGACCCTGAGGAAATTTGGCTGCTTCCTAGATCATCTTTACCCCTAAAGTAGCATGAAGGGACTTGAGCACAGCTTGGAAGCAGAGTTCTGCCTGTCTGTTCACCTGTCAGTCTGTTTGTCTCACTGTGCAGGTATCTATCCATCTGTCCATAAATCTGGTATCGTATTCAGGGAGCTTCAGGGACTTGTGTGACTCGCAGGCTGTCTTGTGGGAAGGTAGGAAGTTCACCTGCTACCTGCGTACAACTAAAGTTGTACCTGCCACCCTCTGACAGCCTTGCCAAGTAACCAAAAGGAGTTACTCAGCTGACTAGAAATGCTATTGAAAGAAGCATGAGACACACAGTTTATAAAATTTTAGCATGCCAGTGTCAGCCCATGGTTTCAGGTGGACATACCTGTAAAGCAGTGAATAAAGCAACCCTCACTGACAGGTGTAGTTTGTGTCTGTACATACTGCTGCTGTATGTCTGACACATCCAACAGAGATAGCCTTCCTGAAGTCATAATTCACTCTGACCTCATGTTTTCACTGTGATCTCCAAGCTCTGGACAAGCTCCCTTACTCCTAAGTTTCCAAATATCATGCTTAGAAGCTTAGGAACTCTAAGTTGTATTTAATTAGTGCAAAACAGCCTGTAGACCTCATGGTGCACAGGGATCTATTATAAAATCTTGGTAGGCTGTGTAACTGTGTAGACTTGGTTGGCTGTGTAATAATATTTATTCTTGCTAAGTGTTCATCAGCAGGCTTTGGACCAATATGACCAATTGGTATCTTCTGCAAGCTGTCTAGAGCATGCTTCTACAGCACTGTCTACAAGCTTCTAATTCCCTGTCGACCTATGTCATTCTTAACTTGTTACGAGGTGTGGAGTGAGGGCTAGGATTTGTTCTTTGCCAGAAAACAGCAAGGAAAATTAAGATCTTCATGATGTTGAGCTGAATCATCTTTGATCTGGTCAAGGTTATTTCCTTGAGGATACCACAGATAATGCATAGCTCCAGAAGGGCCATTTCCTACCCCCAGTGGTGCACCTGCCACCAGTGCCAGCATGCTCAGCAAGGCTCTGGCCTTCGACCTGCCTTATGTGTCAGTCTGATTTACCTCAATGTGCATATGTTCTATTTGATGTGCTTTTTTCACTGTCTTATGTTCTTGACGTGGTTTTCACAAAGCTGTGATCTTGTTCTTGAAACAGCTACCACATCCTTGGGAAACTTTACTTGGAGGAGGAAGAGAGAGTCCTCTCCTTAAATAATGTAGTGATTTTCACAGTGAGAGATGCTGCATGTGTGCCCATGGTGTGACTATAGGGTTTGTGTCTTTAAGGACTCTGGTAGCTTTGAAAGAAGCAATGCATGTGTTTATGGCTCTTCTTGTCTTGGAGTCTTACAGAAAATTTCTCCAAGGACTCCCAGCACCCATCTTTTAAGGTCTGTGGGATTCAGCTGTCAGGGGCAGGCAGCTAGCCATGGTCTTCAGCCAGCCTACACTTGCCTGGGATAAAATATGGGAAGTAGGTTTAGTCGGGGCCAACATTCAAAGGATGGGAACTGATCATGAAGGATAGGTTTCCAAATATAGTAGGAAAAGGTGCAATTTCCGTCCTGCTCTTAGAGAATAGGAAATGAAATACATAAAGTATGAAATTCAGATGATCCTGAATTTGATCATAGAAAACCATAGGAGGAGAGAACTCGTCAGGGAAGATGGTATCATAGTAAGAATATGGAAATATGAGGAAGTGTTTGCCCTCAAAGGTAATCACCATATGTGGATTTGTGTGTGAATGCAAGTGAGGTTTGCATTCTAAGCTTGTGTAGAAAGTATGTGCATGTATTTACATAGATGTGCCATCAGCTGATGGGTCATGTGGAAATATGAAACTAGCAAGCCTAATTTATTCCACTTCTCCATTCATTCCAACCAGTTTGACACGTGGCTTTGCTAGCTAACTCACTTCTGAATTTCTTCTGTTACAAACTCTATTTTTTTATCAACATTACCATTTTCCACAAGCCATCATATACCAAATAATTTTTAGTTTTGAATCATGGGAGAAAAATAACAGTAGCAGGAAACAATAATGATAGAAGGCTCAATATTATTCTGCAAACTCTCAATCTAGTTTGCATTCATCACAGCAGTTCTCTGTTTAGAGAGATTTCTAAGGTATGTCCAAAGAGTCTGTGATCAGTTTTCAGTGAAGTCTTTAATTGCTGTATGCTGTCCTTTGAAGCCACTTAGCAAAAGGAAGAGAAATAAAGCATATTTGTTCTGAAACATAACAAAAAATAAATGGGATTTGCCATGTTAGCTCAGATGTAATCTTCATGTAAGTGTCGGTTCTTTGTGGCTACTCCGACCTGCAGTGAATTCAGTCAAACAATATCACAAAATGAAAAATTAACTCATTCTTTTAAAAATGTAGCCCCTGTGTGTCACTAGTTTTTCATGTGCTGTGGTAGTGAACTCCATGGCCTACCTGTGTGCTGCGTACGAAATGTTTCTGTATATGCATATTCTGCATATATGTATATATAGACAAGCAAATAATAGATACGCACACCTGAATGTGTACTTTGAATATATACACATGGTATGTATTGCATGTAGGCTATATATGTATATATATATATAGTATCTCCTGTGTGTATATACCCTGTCTATGTGTGTGTGCCTGTATATACCTCCCACACGCAGGCTTTCTGGAAGGCATCCCACTGACAGCATCATCCCTTCCTTTTGTTCCAACCCTAGATTGGGAAGCTCGGATAGACAGCCACGGGAGAGTGTTCTACGTGGACCATGTCAACCGCACCACCACGTGGCAGCGGCCCACGGCCGCGGCAACGCCCGACGGCATCCACAGGTCGGGCTCCATCCAGCAAATGGAGCAGCTGAACCGCCGGTGAGCCTTGGCACTGGGAGGGGAGGGACTGTTCTTCCAAGGCATGGGGTCACTTCTGCTGCTTAGCTGTAACAGTGCTGTTGATGCGTCAGCACCTGGTGCTGTGCTGCAAAGCTTTCCGGGACCTGGCTGGAATTGCTGCCGTGTCCGTGAGGCGTTTCTACCCAGGCTAATTAGGCCTGTTGAAAGGTCTGTCTCCTTTTCCAGGGCAAAGCCCTGCTCTAATAGCACCGTGCACATTTCTAGAGGTAGACAGGTCTGCTTAGTGTTGCATTGGGCCCTGTAAATCTGTCAGTTCATTCATACCTCTTAACGTCATTTATATTTTAGCTTTGTTTGACTAGTCCACACATAGATTTGTTCATCATTTTCTTCTCATGCTCACTTTTTAGACTGAATTTAAAAGGAAAGAAAAAAAATAAACAGTTGGTCAGAAATCTTCCATTTTTGCTTAAAAAGAGGGTTTGGGGTTTTTTTTAAATTCTCTTCTTACTATAATGGCGCCATTTCTAGAAAAGGATAAGCAAAACTGAAATTATATTTTAATTATAGCCTGTAAAATGCCACAAAAGTTTTTTGGCTTTTTCTTTTGTGCTTAGAGGAAGATCTGCAGCTGAGAGAAGGATGCAGACTTTAAAAGTGCTCTTTTCAGAGTACTTTGAATAGTTTGGGAGCTGCTGTGCCCTGAATGAGGCAGTCTGGGAGAACTGGGCCAACTTAAACTGACACCTTCAAAACGCTCTTGAAGAATAATCCTTTTTTACCAAAATGCATTATTTTGAGTAGTGTTTCATAGCATGTATTATGTCTTGCAGAAATGAGAGAACCTGCCCAGTATTTGTTTTCATTATAGGTTTGCACATAAGCCTCAAGCTGCCATGTTAATATAAAAAAATAAAATAAAAAAAAAACAAAAGCAAAACAAAAAAAACCCCGTAAGAAAGTGAATGTTTAATGTAGATTCTTGTAAAGGATTTACATGACTTCTCTGCCATTTAGCGGTGGTCTTCAAGAGGGATTTTAGCCATGTCAAAGTTCAGACTATTTGGCTACCACTTTAAAAAGTTATCTGCCACAGAAACCAGAAAGCTGATGTGGAGATAGATCCTTTTTTTTTTACCTTTTTTTTTCTTTTTTTCTTTTTTTTTCCTTTTTTTTGAGGTTGAGCTCATGGAAGTGCAGAACAACCATGAAAGGAATAAATGTTTATAAGAGTGATTTACCATTCTGTTATTTAGAGCAGGTTAGTCATTAAACCAGCTATCACAGCAGAAACTGAAGCGTAGGCATCGTCTTTGTGACCTCCTTCCCTCATATTATTCAGTGTTTTCATGTAGGCTGTCTGTCTTGGGTATTATTTGATTATCACTGGTTTGGGTTGGGAATTGAGACTTAATAAGATTGATATTCTTTGAATCTCTCCGTTTTTAGTATTCATATATCCAGTTACAAAGGGAGAAGCATGGAGTTTCAGCAGTGGCTGAAACTGAATCTCTACTTATGCAAATTCCATTGGAGACTGCAGTTTATTAAACGTGAAATGTCATGACTTCTTGGGACTAAGGAAAAAGCACCTCTCTGCAAGGAGCTCTGTTGATTTGAGAAGTTGAATACAAAGATCTTCTATTGTTACCTGTGAACTTTTCCTAAGATACTAATGAAGGGGATTCATACTGAATCTCCTGAGCATTTGCCCAGTGGCAAGTAATTTTTGTAGCTTTAACCTGGCTGTTATAATTTTTAAAGTTATTCTAGTCCTAAATCTAATTTCAGGTATTTCATGTCTCCACATTTCAGGAATGTCAGGATAGCTACTTTTCATAGTTATTATCAACACCCCTGAGGACTGGACTTTGTTTTAAGCCCTCATTTCGGAATTCTGTTTTGTTGTGTTTCAAACTTAATGATTTGAAATGTTTTTCTGCAAACACACCTGAGAGCCATTTTAGGTGCGGCAACAGCAAAAATAGACTTGCTGATAGAACTAGCAGCAGCCTGAACTTTTGCTCTAACCTCAAACAAAATTTGGACTCAACATCACTCCGCAGTTTGAAAAACCTCGGTGACTTTTCTTTAAAACAAATTTACTTTTTTTTTGGCTTCCTGGTTTAATTTGTGTAAGGGAATGGAAAGACCAAAATATTACAAGGAAGCTTGGTATTTCCAGCCCAGCCAAAACCACAAACTTTGGAAATTCAGCTTGAAAAAAACCCCATAGCTGTGATTAAACCTAGTCCTGCTTTCCTTCTGTGCCCCAAGCTTCCCTTTAGCTGTACGGGCCACTTGAGAATACAGGGAATGCAAAACTGGAATCCAGGTGCTGGGCAAACACCAAAGAAACATCCATGCTTCTAATTTTAAAGGCTCTTGCTCATTTTCTGGAGCACTACCTGACTTGCTTACTTGTTGGTCAGGTAGATAACAGCCCTTGTTGTTCAAGTTCTCTTGAAAGGATACTTTGCAGCATATGTATGTCTAGACTTGTCTTTGCATTAGTTTGAAAGATAATAATCAACATAAGAAATTACAACCATCATGATTAGGACAGCCACAGTGTGGTATTTCTAAAGCTCCATTTCTTTGACAAATCACTTTGAAAGGAGACAAATTTCCAGAGGCATTCATTCCCATAACTTTTGCACTTCCAATGTTTTCTCCAATTACTTTGGCATTTTTGGGTATTTATATAAGGTGATTTTATAGTATTGAGATGCAAAAAAAATGCATAGCCTTTTGTTGGCATACAGCTGCTGTTGCTCTTTGAGGTTTGCCAGTGGGGATTTTCTACCATCTAATTAAATTGAAGGTACAGGGTTTTTCTATATGTGTGCTTATATCCCTTGATTATATGAACTTGGGGGATTTTGTGGTTGGTTTTTCCTTTCCTTTCTATTCCATGTGGGTGTTGTAAAACTCCTGCAGTACTGGAATGGAAAGTTCATTCAGTTGCCTGCCGTCAAGTGAATAAAGCTGCAAAATGTAGGTCTAAAACTAGAGGGTTTAAAACTGCAGTAAATCCATGCTGTTGCAAAACCTGCTATCAGAATTTCTTTGTAAAGATGGATGTTTTCTTAAACTATCAAAATATGCACTAAATGTAGCTTTAAATGACTTTGAGCACTGGAGGGAGACGCATAGCATTGTGAAAGTTTAGTATAAATCTATTAAAACTTTAATTATTTTTTCTTAATTATCTCCAGCCCTTTCGCTTAAGATTGGCTTGCAGTGAGCTACTGGAGATTATGTCTTTTGAGATATCAAAAAGCCAAACCCTAACTCTTGTCTTTGATGATCCTGTGTCACTTTGAGGACCTTACTCATGGCTAACTTCTATTTGGAATAAAGTGTGCATTAACAAATAAAGAGACAGAAAGTAAGTAAAAATCTCTAAGTCAGATCTTGAGCTGAGGAAAGCAAGGAGTGTAAGTCAGAAAAACTAAAGACAAACAATGCTGGATCACATTAAAAGAAGGCAGCAAAGCCATCCTCTTTCAAATATGTACAGAAATACCATGAAGAAAGAAGGATTAAAAATATCAGGATGGAATAAAAGCTAGTTAAAATAATTAAGAAGGTCTGTTTTCTAGCTTTGCTTTTCTTTCTCTTTCTAGTTCTTTCTTTCTTATTATGCTTTCTTTTTCTTCTCTCTTTCTGTACAAAATGCATTTATGATACACGTAAGACATGTTCATAATTTGCCAGTAGAACCTAGAAAACATGTTCACCAATTCATCTGTCACTATGAGTGAACAAGTTAAGGAGAATTTGATTTCTGTAGTGTGAATTCATAACACTCCAGGCTATTAGTTCTTCATCAGGAAAAGATGATTTATTTACAGGATTCAGGACGCACATCCAGTAATTTAATAAGAAAGACTGAAGGTTACCCAATGCATCACAGGGTTGGTCCTTACGTCATTGGTTATGCTTCCATAAGGCTAAACAAGAGGAGGAACCATGATCCACCTCTAGTTTTGGGTTCCAGGTGTCCAGATGTTTTAAAGGGAAGCAGCAACATGCAGCATAAATATGTGTTTAAAGTTTGAGTATTGCTGACTCGGCACCCGCTGTGGCTGTTTGTTAGTCACTGAGAAATGCCAAGTTTGCAGAGTGCTGGCTGGCCCAAGTGTGAGCAGCTGCACCAGCTGCAAGGGAAGAGTCAGCTGTGCCCTTACTCTGTTGTACACAGAAGATGGAAATATTCGGTCATTCAGAAACAGTGCTGATTGTTAAAGCAGAAAGCAACAGAAGGCACCTCTGTTAACTAAATCTCATTGTTCCTTTCTATGAATGTATCTAGGTACCAAAACATCCAGCGAACCATCGCAACAGAGAGGACTGAAGATGATGCTGTGGTAAACAACAGGGTGGAGAGAGTTCCCACTGGAGGAGGAAGTGACTCTGAGGCAGAGCCTTCCCAGCCAAGCCCAGGTATGGGGCAGCAAAGCTTCTGAGTGGCATGTTCAGTGCCATTCTGTTCTGGGAAAATCTGCATTTCCAGGGACAACTGAACTTTTATTATACCAGGTTGAAAAACCTAATTAAAAAAAAAAAAAGGACCTGAAGATACAGTTTTTAGATGTGAAGCTACAAGCACAATGCTGGATACAACAGTTTCAGTTCTTTAACAATTACTAAGACCGACAAAGCATTTTTACCTTAGTAAACAGCCATTTGAAACTAAAATGAAAGAGACATTTTGCAACTACTAGGTGAATACTATTCACCTACTAGTTGCAAAAATACTCCTGTCTTATTTTTGTGGCCATGTGATTTGTAGCATGGGACATTTGCAGTTTATTTTTGCTAGGGTTGGCTTCTGCACTGCCACGTTTGCCCATGTGATTGCACCTGCAGCAGCCCTGGCGTCATGTATGAAATACTTGTGGTTTTTAAAGGTGTGGTTTTGTGATAGCTGTGAGCTGACCTAGGTGTGGATTGTCGCCAAAGAAGGCACAGCTGTCTTTTTGCTCACTACTAATTTATGTGGCAGGAGCCCATGCCAGAGTAGAGAACAGAACTGCCTGAAAAATAGCCTGGCTTCTTGTCCTTGTCGTTTACAGCCAGATTGGATCTTTCATCTGGCTTGTTAGATAAGGAACAAGAGTGAGGGTCACTACAAAGCAGAAGAGGAAAATGTGTACCCAAGGCAGGATGGGACGGCAGGGGTCTCTTCTACTCTTTTTGGTGGTAGTCACACTCCTACCAAAGATGTTTTCTCAAAACATTTGGGAAACCAAAGTCTTAAGTTTCAAGTAGGAAGCAATCAGTCTAGTGCCACTATGCAATTTGAGACCATGCAAAAATAACTCCCTGCTTTGTTAGCACCAGCAAAATGATTGACCAGTTGTCTTCCTCTGGATCACTCTTGCCTCCACTAAACTTTGTGTTCTGTATTGTCTGCCATGAGTAAATCCAACTTCTTGCTATCCTTTTGCCATCCCTCTGTAAATAGGATTGGTAATGAGAAAGAACCAGCACAGTGTCTACTTGAATTTTCTTAGTTTTCCATGTTGAATAGGAAAAAAATACATAGAGAAATAATAAAATTTTTAACAAGTTTAGAAAAATATTCTATTTTGCTTGTTTTGATGCATTAGGATTTTTAATTTGAAAATCAATTTTGGCCAAGGATGTTAAACATTTGATGCTCAAGTTTCCTTGCCATCTTTTCTATTGCAATTAAAGAGGGACTTCTACCTACAGTGGATCTTATAAGGAAAACCCAGTTGTCTATGTTAGGGAAGTGGAAATGAGGTAGACATTGAATTATTAGTATTTATGAGTAATGTAGCCATTACTTGTAATAGGTATAATCATTTAGTATCATAGACAATAAAATAGTAATTTAATAGGAGTTACCACCCCTAAGTATTTTGTTCAGTTTATTATTTACCATGCACTCTTTTGTTTTAAACCCAAAGAGCTAATCAGTGTGATAAATGTTACCATAAGTTATTAGGAAAAGGTTTTTGCTATATATAATTGCTTTGCTTTTGGAAAAAGACATCAATATTGTATAAAATTCCAAGAATTAGAAGGTCAATGATGGTGTAAACACATTAGGGAAAGAAAAAGCTGCAGTATTATACATTTGTTATTTGTCTTTTAATTTAAATGAAAAATATCAGAAGGAATACAAGTAAGGCACATTAATCCAGGTTCCAAGTCAGTATAAATCAGTTTAACTCCAGAAACTGATCCAGTCTGCAGTTTTCAATTGATAAAATAATGTATGCAGCAAGAAGAAAAAAGTTATAACTAATAAGAAAAAAAAAAGTGAATTTTATGTATTCTGTTGATGACAATCTGCATCCAATTTTCTTGGACTGCAAATAAAATGTAGTTTTATTTAAAAATGCCAGAACACTATAACAATAATTCAATGGAAGGAACAATTTTTCTGGTAGCTAAAGAGCATCAAGAGTTTCTACCTCTACAGAGTTACATTCTCAGTGCTCAGTTCTGCTCCTGTGCTTCATTAATTGATACAGATTAAAAATAATGCAATTGTGTTTGGTTTTGTTTTCTTTACCATACACGTCCCCAAAACCTTGTACTTGTCAAAACCAGTGCAATTAAAGTAGAGGGTAATGCTGGATTGGGAGATCAGATTTCTCAAAAATCAGCTGCAGGGGAAACCAGAATAGACCTGGGTGAACCAAACCATCAGCTGGTGAAAACTGCTGTGGTCACATTATACTTGGGGACAGCAGCAGACTTGACACAGAGTTTCATAAGCTGCAGTTCAGGAAACCATCCAGCTCCTGCACTGCATCATTAAGCATAAGGACATCCATCAGTTTGCTTGTCTTGGGAGTGCCAAGCTAAGTGCATTGGGCATGTGGTGGCCTTTTTATATCATCACTTCTGCAGCTGTTTCTGAAAGGTTAAATAATAGACTGTGCTTGCCACTACATTAATAAGATTCTATGTCTTGTTTTTTTGGGGTTTTTCTGTTCAGAGATTAGGAGGGAAGGTTCCCTTTCTCCTGTGAATTCTCAAAAAATCACCTTGTTGCTGCAGTCTCCAGCTGTGAAGTTCATCACCAATCCCGAGTTCTTCACCGTGCTGCATGCAAACTATGTGAGTAACTCTGATTTGCTCTCTCACACTACTGACTTTTGAGTCCCAGTGCTGTGTCCCAGACCTGCATGGAGAATGCACAGTGAATCTGAACTGTGTGACTTGGGGCTCAGGTGTCCTTTCTGAGCACCAGATCAGGTTGGGAAACTACAGCCAGGCTGCTCCAAGGAGGCTCTTGCTGAGATTCTGCCTCGCATGGAGTGTCCATGGTACAGAGCAGCTCATTAATGTTACCCTCCCAGAACAAGCTGGAACCCTTGGTTTCAGATTGGTTGATTCTGTTGTCTGTTGCTGCAGGCAGTGAAGTTGTTGCCTTTTGATCCAACACCCTGAGAAATCTTACTCAGATACCACCAAGTCTTACTCAGATATCACCAAGGGAAACAGAGGGAAAAAAATTAACTCTTGCAATTTGCACTCCCACAATGGGGGCAGGCATAACTGAGTGAAAGAAATACTGACTTGTGTCGGTGTAGCTATTTTGGAAAAAGCACAAATAAAAACAAATTTTCAAAATTCAAATAACCTTTTTTTTCCATTAATGAAGTAAAACCAAACATTTTCTTGCAAACCTGGAGGGGAGTGGAGAAAATGCAGTATCAGGAGGAAGCAGATAGGGCAGTCCCACAAGGAGATGCAGTCCTAGTTTGCCATATCTGAAATTTAGTTCAACAAGGCATCTAAATGTGACTTCTGACTATTTGGGAAGTCATCCATTTCTGGGTAGCAATGACCTTCCTGTTCAATAGGAAGTGAAGGTAAAACACTGAGAGTTGCCTCAGCACAGCCTTTTAGCTGACTGCAGGCATCAGGTTTTGGCTGTGGCACTTGGTGGATTGAAGCCAGCCGTCCATCTCCAAGCATCTGCCAGAGATTATCACCCATGAGATCCTGACAAGGAAGGGATGTATTAACTCATCTGACATTCCCTGAACTAGGTTATGGAGTGCAGATAATTTCTTCCAGTAGCAGGGTGATATATGATGTTTTATAGCTGGGAGCAATGTAATTTTTGACCAGCATGGTTGTTGAAAAAATGAGCAACTGATTCCATAGTTGTGTAAACAGCTCACAAGAGACTAAATCCCAATTTTATTAGTCACTGAAACTAAAAAAGCAGAAAGAGGCCTTCAGTTTTATCTTAAAAACTTGTCTCTAATGTGAGGACCAGAATAATCTATTAAACATCTGTCAAATGGTCCTACAGATACCACTTGTACAGGAATAATTGCCCACATAACTTTTGCCTTAACACGAGTGTAATATTTTAACCACAAGCCCCTATTAAAATTTCAAGCTATTAATTATGCCACTGAAGTTGGGATTGGAAAATATTATCCAGCAGTTAGAATTAAAAGGGAAAAGCTCTCATTTTTCAGATATTTTATTTCCATTAAGAGATAAAACTACATTGCACTCTTTGTTTCCCTAGTGCAGCTTAGAGATATTCAAGCCAGTCATTGATCATACATTATATCAAAATACAACTTTTGTTGTGTAGTAGGCTGGGATCTTAAAAATCTGTGACCATGAAGCTTTCCTGGGTTATAAGCAGGTCATATCTTCAGGGCAGAGATCATATCTCTGTGAACATAACATTTACCAGCCCTTGCCATAATTAGGGACCTTGCGCTACAAGGAGCATTCTCAGTGGTGTCACCACAATAAATCCTTACATAATAAAGATTATACCTGTAGATGTTTTATTGAATTATGGTGGTTAAAGTGCACTAAACACGCATAAAAAATGATAATTCAAAGCTGCTGGGTCAGATTCTCTGGACATATTCCAGGTCTGCACACTGGACCTCACTTTACTTAAGACAGGAGTCCTACAGCGGTCTTTATTACTCTAATGAGTAATCAATCCTTTGGGCTGACCAGCAAACCAAGACACTCATTTTCTCTCTAGTAAAAGGTCCGGAGGTTTTTGTGAAGTTTCCTACTCTGTCTTAAGGAGCTTTTTCCCTGAAGTGAAGGATTCAAAGAGTGGCCTGTGAATGGGCCTGTGTGTTGTTAGCATAAGTATTATTTTGTGATGCTCTATCATTGAACACACTGAACAACACATATTGAACAACAAATACAATTCACTGGGCCCCTATTCTGCAATCAGATCAGTTCACTCCCTTGAGCTGCCTCAGGCCACATTCCCCTAGAGGTGTATTTAATGCCCATTGTGAGATACAACTCGCTGCCTGAGGGGTGGCATTCATTGGACTCATGGAAGTGTCTCCAGCTGAGAGCCTCTACATCATCTACAAGCTTTAGATTTAGTAGTCATGGCAGAAACAAGTACTCCATTCCAGGAAACAATTCACATCTTCCAAAAATAGACAATTAAAAAGTGTCTGCTCCTGTCCTGTGGCTGTATAGTCACCATAAAAAAGGTAGCAAGCTCATATGGAAACATCTGCACTGGGGTCCTCTTAAGTTCATGAGTCCTATCATGCACATACATCTTGATTTCAATTATAGCAAAAATAGATGTTCACAGCTGTCTTTGCATCTCTCTGGCGCTGCTGAGGCACACAAGCAGTGTTTCTGTCAACCAGTAAAAGCAATGAAAGGGTCAACTACATGCACCTTGAGTGTGTGATATTTCAGCTGACCATTTTTGAAGTGCATTAAAAAGGCAGTTCTTACACAAGCTAACTGTGCATAATGTGTGGGATGTTTCACTTTCCAGATTGTATTTTTTAATTCTGCATATGCATGTAAAGTTGTTATTGAAATCAAAACAAAGAGATGGAAGTGTTTCTCAATTCTAACAAGATTTGTTTCAGTCCTTTGGGCATGTGGCCAATGAAATAACCAAATGTGTTTTGACATCAGAACTGGGTTTCTTCCCTTCTGTTATCCATCTCACAGAGTGCCTATCGAGTCTTCACCAACAGCACCTGCTTGAAGCACATGATTCTGAAGATTCGTAGAGATGCTCGTAATTTTGAGCGGTATCAGCACAACAGAGACCTAGTAAATTTTATCAACATGTTTGCTGATACCCGACTGGAGCTTCCTCGTGGCTGGGAGATAAAAACTGACCAGCAGGGCAAGGTAAGAGTGCCAACAAAACTAATCACTTTTTTAACACAGCACATCAGACTACATGATTATTAAAATTTCCTTCCCTCTTGACTCAAAATCAGTGAAGATTTGGTTTAAAGAACACCAGCAGCAAGGAGAGTTATTTTAGAAGCAGGAAAAAAGCTTCAAAGTTTCAAAGCATTTCTGGCTTTCTGTAGAATATTGTACCAAAGCAAGGCAGCATTGGACTGATAACAAAGTTTGAGCCAGAGTAGATCTGTTGTGACTGCAAAATTTGACTCAGTGTCTCTACCTTGAATTAAGCTTTGCTGACTGACCTCTGGATCCACCAAATAGGTTAAAGCAGCATTTCCCAATAGCATTATTCTCTCCTGTCTTGTGTACATCATGGCCATTACACGTGATTTTGGTCTACACAGTTTCAGATATTTTCTAAGAGCTATTCTAGCTTTGAGTAGGCCAGTTGAGTCCTGTTGTTGCAGGTGCCTTCCATGGACTATACTTATCCAAGGTATTTCCCACTTAGAGTTGCCAGTGGTTTTCCTGCTGTGTTCCCACAATACCATCACAGGCTTGTCAGTCTTATTAAAGAAACCATTGTTCCTTTGTGTTTCAGTCTTTCTTTGTTGACCACAACAGCCGTGCTACCACCTTCATAGATCCCAGGATCCCGCTGCAGAATGGGCGTCTCCCAAATCACCTGACTCACCGGCAACATCTCCAGCGGCTCCGTAGCTACAGCGCTGGAGAGGTAACTGTGCTCATACCAACTCAGGAACTTCTGACAGCAGTCTTCTCTGGAATTATAAGAACTTCTTTTATTTTAAAAGCATTGAAACAGACTTTCTTGTGAATGTCTATCTTCCAAAGACAATAAGTGATTTTTTTTTGTCTTTCTGAAGGGTTTATTTCAGAGCTTGCTGGTTTATATCTTGATGGTTTTCAGAATAAAATAATAAACAAGAAAGCATAACTGAAGTGAAGTGATGACAGAATAGATTTTAAAAGAAGAATCCATATTTGACATCCTGGCCTTGCTTTACTTAAGTTATTCATTGATTTCTTTATAGTCTGATACCTCATATGTTTCTTCATTCCCCACTGTGACACTGTGCTCTGAAAAGATAGACTCCCTAGAAGCAGTGCAGTAATGTATGCTGAGGTTTGCTTTCCCAGCTTTCAGTCACATAAAATATCTTTCCTATATATCATGGGGATGATTTTTATCACTGAGGACCATAGACAGGATTGAAAGAAGCATAAATACTGGGTTTGCATTGTGGATTTAAGTAGGAAAAAGTGCCAGCAATCAGATTCTTCATACAGTTAAACATTTGTAAAGATTGTTGCTGAATAGAACTGGACATGAACTACAGTGAAAGGGTCTTCCTCTTCCACAAAAATATCCAGAGAAATGCTTGTGAAATTAGCATCAAAATTTATTGCAGCAGGACCAGTCTGAGTACTTCTCACTGCCAGGTGGGTTGGGATTAGGAGCTATAGAGGGTGTCAGGTCCATTCTTGAGGACCAAAGGCAAACCAGGCATGAGTAGCTTGGGCATGTTCTCTCCATCTTGGGTGAATGCAGCACCATATTTTCTGAAGATAGAAGTGTATCAATGGATCTGTTTCAGTCATATCTTCCTACCAGCTTAGCAACTTCCCTCTGTCAGCAGCCTTCAGTTTAGTGTTGCTGCTGTGATTGAATTACTGGCATGACTGTGGTTTGGTTGCCACCTGCACCATGATTTGTGCTTGGACCTGTGCTTGCCTGAGGCTTGCTTGCAAATTTGCCATGTCAGGGACAGAAACACCCCTGAACAACTCAGATGACCTCGCCCAAAAATATGCTTGGTTTTGCAAGCACTGGCAAGGCTGGCAAGGAGCAATATGCAATAAACACCAAAAAAGCCAGTAAAGGGTAGGAAATCAAAAGTATTGAATACTTTTGAGTAATGATTATCTAGGGAAATGAAAAACTGTTCTTTGAGGCCACTGTTCTGGCATGATCACCCGATGAAATAGTCACCTCCCAGTCTTGGTGGCCCAGGTCCCACAGTGCTTCTACACCTTTGTCACAGCCAAACTTCTTTGTTGTAGTCAAGTAGCTTCCCATTTGGAAGAGTCTGCTGCTGCACTGGAAGGACTCTCATTGATTTCCAAGGACTTTGGATTGGTGCCTAAAAGTCCCTCATTTACAAGGAAAATATTCAACCCTTCGCAGCTTAGTCCATTTATTAAGAGCCTCATGTTCCATGCCATTTTCTCCAAGTGCAGTGGGATGCTCTTTGGCCTATAAATCATGTCTGTAGCCTCACACGTGGGGCTTTGTCCTGGCCATGTGTCAGCTGTCTGCAATCTTGCTGTTTCTTTGCTGAGCAGATGGTATGGCCTCTGGAAGCTGTCACCAGGACAGTATGAAGGACCACGAAGGACAGCTCACCAGTTTTCAGTGTTATTTGCATGTGTCAAAGGAGCCTGAAGGACATCAGAATAGTGAAGTTGTGGTTGCCAGAGAGGGCATAGAAAAGAGCCAGGGTAATGAAATAAAGGGCCTCTGCAAAAACTTCCACTGTGTAGATTACTGATATTAAATGGTACTATATATTATATATTAATTTGAAAAAAATGCTACAAGTTCTTTATTAAGCACTTATTTAAGGGTTATCCATCTTGGTTGTTGCTACTCTTAGTTACCTGATTTTTGGAAGAAAAGGTCAGGTAGCTATAGTGGCCATCAGTAACTAAAGCATAGGTCACTAAGTGATTCATTTCCTTCTGCCACTTCTATAAACAGAACAGTTTGTAAGCACTTTCCATTCCCTCTAAAGGACTTCCCATCTGCAGTGAAAGTCAACATCCATGATTACAGGGTAAGGATTTTAAAGACAGCAAGAGGAAGGAAGCAGGCATCCACAAGGAAGAGGCAGGAGGTGCAGAGAAGGTGCTGGAATATGGCAGTATATACATCTCCTTACCAACCCAAACCACAGCAAGCAAGTAGAAGGATTCAAATGGGCCTCTGAAATCCAGTGGCAATATAAAACCCAGGAAAAGGTATTACATCTTGAAAGGCTCATCTGGTAGTTTGGACTCTCCACTCTGCTTGCAACATCCCAGTATCAATATCAAAGCTGTTAAAACCTGACATAAATCTGTCAGTTACTCTGCACTACATGAACCAGGTCACTAAATCATTAGAGGAGTCACTCTTTATTTTTTATTAGAGAATAATGAGCTAATCAAAATTAAATTGTTCAATTAGAAAGTTAAAGTAGACAAGACGATTGTGACTGAACACTAAATTGGAGCAATCAATTGTTTTCTATTAGCTTAGGGTGGGAAGAAAATTGTGAGCAAAATGGAAGTTAATTAGAGGGCTGGGAATTTTCCCATTGTGTTGCAGGGAAAAATTGTTTGGAGGTGTAAATGTGCAAAGACCAAACACAGCATGAGCAATGCCTAGGGATGGTGACAAAGAGAATTACATCACCAGTTTATTGAGGTGTGTACCCAACTGGATTCTTACAATGTCTAGATGACTTTAGCTCTTAAGCCAGAACTGGAAAGATGGGAAGAGGGGAGCGAAAGTTTCTTTTCATAGGCACTATACACATTTCCTTCCAAAATTCTTGCTCCAGGAGAAATATGTCCAGGCACTGGAAAGCTGAAAAAAGGAATGATAACAAGAGCAAGAGGAGGATCCAGGTCCAGGCTGGGCAGAAGTACCATGCAGTTCCCAAGTGATGAGCAAATAACAGCTGGTGCTAATTTTTATGGGAGATACATGTTTAACTCCTCTGTTACTCTTCCCTTTCCCCTTTCTGTCTTCTGGTCAGTAAAATTATGTGTAGCAACAAGGCCTTAGGATTTGTCTTTGTCAAGGATGAGTCAGCAATCACCTTTTAAAACAGGCTCACCCACCATCTGCATTCCCTTGCAAGTCTTTTCTACAAGGACCTGAGGAATAGGCAGAATAGGCATCCTCACCTGAACTCCAGGGCCCCCTGGAAGTGAAGAAGCTGAGCCCAACAAAGCCTTAGCAGCCTCCCACACATCCTACCTAGTACAGCTGGGGCAGTGTGTAATCCTGGTCGTGCTGCCGACAAACAGCCCGGGAAATGTCTGCTCCACATGCCCACTGTGGCAGTGGATCACAGGGCACCTCTTGCACCCTTGCAAGGTTCTCCCCTGTGCCACAGCATGGAGTGAATGCTGGAAAGGCCACCATTTACTGGGGTGGATGCCTGGGGCACAGGGGAAAAGCTGCCTAAGCCTGATCTAAACTTTCCTTGTGAGTTGGCCTGTGGGGGTGTGAGGAGGAGACAAAGGCAGTGAAAGGGTACAAGTGAAATCCTAACTGGATGATGAAGCGAAACATTCACCATGCACTTGCAGAGCAGTTTTGTGTTTTAAATGACAGTGTGTTTGATTAGAATAGTTACGATTTTTCATTGTTTAACCTGTGTGTTGACACGTATCAAATGCATTGACTAGTATCTTGTTATGTGTAAACATTTTAAGCTTTATGGGTTCCAAAAGGCAGCTTGCCAGGCACATTTAGCTTCTCAGTTTCTGTGTATATCCAGTTGGAAGACTTGGCCTTTGGCTGTGCCACTGAAAATGGGTTGGCACCCTTTGCTTGGATGCAGAGCTAAGCATTTGAAATATTGAAGTCGGGGCGATTTCTTCCTGAAGTAGTTGCCAAATGCTATAATTTGTGCAGTGAGAAAGGAGCAGCTGTTAGCCCAGTGGAGTGGCAATTGGAATTCCTAATGCATCTTGTCCTGATACAGCCTCACAGTGTAATCACAAAACAAGGGGGAGTGTCTTTAAGCTGAAAGAGGGTAAATTGAGATCAGTTATTAGGAAATAATTCTTTACTGTGAGGGTGATGAAGGACTGGAACAGATTGCCCAGAGAAGCTGTGGATGCTCCATGCCTGGAAGTGTTTTAAGACCAGGTTGGAGGAGGCCCTAGTAACCTGGTCTAGTGGAAGGTGTCCCTGCCTGTAGCAGAGGTGTTGCAATTAGATGATCTTTAAGGTCCCTTCCAACCCAAACCCATTCTATGATTCCTCTCTTGGCCTCACTGTAGCCATATTCTGGAGGAAAACATGAGAGACAGGTCGGTTCCCCTCAACTTTCACAAGTCTCCAAAAGGTTACCCAGCAAGTAATGCCTTAGTGCAAACATTGCCAAATGTCATTGTTTGCCTTTTAATATCTCCATACCGAAGTGTCTTCTCACCTTTTAGGAAATCCGCCTTTCTGACACGATTCCTTTCACTAGATAGTGTATTTGGAGCGGTGGCTTTCTTTGAGTGCCTCAGTTAAGGGGCAGTGAAAAATTTCCTTCTTACTACTCCTTTTATCAGGTCTTTGGAAATTGTTCTTATTTCCAGTGTATACAATTCAATTTCTGGTTATGCAAGTTAGGCAGCCTTTTGGGATGATACAGCCTTTTTCTGTGCTGTGATCTACATAGATATGCCTTCCTCATGTTATTTCCACTATTAAATCTCCCTTCAATAACACTGAGTGAACATTGCAGCATTGTGGGGTTTTTCTCTTTTCAAAAACATTGCTGTAAAAACCTTGAAATAATGCAGTTATGCTAAAACAATACATGTTTGGTACTACAGAGTATGTAGTGTGATACTATAGAGATTTTATTTTCACTGAACCAGATATCCATCACTGCAATACCTACATTAACATGCATTTACTTCTGGATTCTGGTGCCTTCAGCACTGAGGAGGTGTGATAGCTCTGGATAATGGTGTACCTTCATTTGGAAGCACAGAATTACTTGCCTTTTTTGAGTTGACTTGAGTATAAAGCTGTAATTTTCATGCATGCTTTCTGCCCTTCGGTCAGCATCATGGACCATTCTGAAGGCTGCAGAAGTAAAAATGACAAATCTTTTAACTGACTGATGAGCTACTGGTGGTCAGTTTTGATCATTCTTTTCCTTTTCTCTGATGTTGTAGGCCTCTGAAGTCTCTCGAAACAGAGGAGTTACTCTGTTGGCCAGACCAGGCAATAGTCTCGTAACAGCTATTCGAAACCAGCACCATCACGAGGCATTACCTCTGGGTAAGCCAAGTTGGTTTTTTAATTCTCAAAACTCACAAAGGTGGGGTTTAGGACATCTCATCAGCTGTGTGCTGCACTGCCTTGTGTTGCCCTGTGCCTCACTGGCAGGGCAGTGTGCCCCTGCAGAGTTCTGGTGACGTGGCAAATAAAGCCTCTGGTTTGATTTTACCTTTTCCAGCTTACAATGACAAGATTGTTGCATTTCTACGCCAACCCAACATTTTTGAGATGCTGCAGGAACGTCAGCCCAGCTTGGCCAGAAACCATGCACTCAGGTACTGCTTTTTGCCAGACTGCTCTACCCTCCTTCCAGAAAGTGCTTTTTGTAGTGGGGAAAACCAAATTCTAGTAACTGTAGTACAACAGATGAACTTGGAGCTCCTATGGAACTGCCACCATTAAAGAGTAGATGGGAACCACCAGGATCCGTGTAGTTACTATAGTTACTTTCCACAGACATCCAAGAAGTAAAATAAATATGGGCAAATAATAATCAGAAACTCCACCTTCACCTGCAATTATCACTTTGCTTTTCAGAAGATAAGAGTTAAAAGAGTGTTTGGATGGAAGTCAGCAGCAAAACCCCAATAAGTCCAGCAGAACCAGGATTTTGCTTCATGGTTGGATTTCCACCCTGTCATAGATATAGTCACCCTATCCATTATAAAGTAATAGGAGCATTATTATGAAGTGGATTGTACTATTGTCTTTAATCTTTCTCACTTTACTTAAAGGTAGTAATTTCCAAAGTAGTTATATTGTGTCTTTCTTTTTCTTAAGCCCATTCCTTTCCTATTAGATTTTTTAAAAACAGAAAAAAACAGAACCAATCACCAGTACAATTTATACAATTTATTCGAATTCCAAAGTTCAAATTAACTGATTTTGGCCAAGAACTTAAGCTGGTGTTAATAAATGTCAGGGGTGCCCATATGCACCAGCTGAGAGTTTGATCAAGAGTTTAGGTTGTACTGTGCAGTCAGAGGTGTGGCTGCAGGAGTGCTGAAGGAGGAGAGAGCCTCCAAATTCCTGCAGTGTGCTTTTGCTGGTAGCCTTACTGACTCCTCATTTACCTCTGAGGGCCAGACAAGGAATTTTTCAGGTGTAAGGATTAGACTTCCTTTTGGAGGAATTGATACATGCAAATAAAATGAGAAATAGAATGAAAAATACTCTCAGTATTCAAGATGTACATTTCTGTAACTGAGAAAATTTTATCTTCACCATCACATTATTCCAGACTATTTTTTTTCCTCAGCTGTAACTTGAATTCTCATTTCCCAGAGAACAGGTAATGCTTTTATCTCCTTTTGAGCAGAGAACAAAATTGACCAGTGATAGGGGCTCGACAGCTTAGCCAGTGTATAATGAGATTTGTAAGAGGATATTGAGCCTTTTGCCTCTAGGTCATTGCTGATTATACCTTGGGCCAGGAGTGATCCAAGCTACTGTCTAATGCTCATGCAGCAGGTGTTAAGCAAACTCCTAGGATGTAAAGTCCATCTTTCATGGACCTTGATTACAAGGTTCCAGAGCACATCCTTGAGATAAAATATTTTTACTTAATACTAGAATAAAAATATTTGGACAATGCAATGCTTTAGAAACACACTGATAGGCTGGGGTGTAGATGCTTATCCTCCCTGATGCTAATCTGATGATAGGATCCTATCCTATGTTTTCCAGTTTTTATTAACAAAAGGTATGATTTTACACATGCAACACATATTACACTGTATAACCTCTGTGTGATTAATTCATTTCAAATATGTTAGAGTGTTATTTCCCAGATGGAACTGAGAGAGGGAAAGGAAGGGATATTACTGCAAATTCTGTTAACAAAAGGTGCTATGTTAGTTGTAGGCTTACACAAAAAACCTGCATTTGGTGACCTGACATATTCATATGAAACTGGAGGACTAAGAATCACTCTGTTCTCTAAAATAGGGAAAAAAATCTCTTTCTTTTGGATCAGTAAACTGAGTGATGGAAACAGATTTTTTTTTATGAGTTTGTTTGGAAGATTAGAAAATGAATCAGGCATATAGGATGTTTGCCATTTTTTATAAGGAGATAAACAGAAACTGACAAAATACCAAAGAATAACTACTCTATGCATGGCTCAAGCTGTGATAATGGCATGTTTTTTTCTGGTTTTGTATTTTTTTTTCTACTCCTCTCTATGATATCACTTATGTTTCAGGGAGAAGATCCATTACATTCGGACAGAGGGTACACATGGGCTTGAAAAGTTGTCATGTGATGCAGATTTAGTAATTCTGCTGAGGTAATCAATTCCATCAATAGCATAATGTCATTACTTACAGTACCAGAGAAACTATCTGGCTCTTTCTCAGCATAATTGAAAAGATTTTGTTAAATCAGGTCATACTGATAGCTATCCAAAATGATTCAGCCAGAGTCAATCTGTCAATTTGTACTTCCTGGAAGGCAGCCTCCATCAGTGCAGTAAATCCAGCCAGCTCAGTCAGTATGGCTGTTACAATCAAGTAGCAGATAAAAAAGAATCAGGTCAAAACGTTTCCTTTTAATGGAAAAAATCTTATTTTTTAAAGAAAGAAAAAGCAAAAAAGAGAGGGGAAAAATCCCTTTCTCACTATTATAATGTAACCGCTCATGAAATTGATAATTTTACTGCAGCAGTGCTGCCACACATGCATGAAACCTCAATGTCCAGTGCAGTGGGCATTGTCTGGGTATTGAAGATAAGGCTTCAGTTTGTACTGGAACCAGAGAGCTTGGTCTTTAGGCCCTGCTTCTCTTCAGTGCAGCTAAGAAGTTATTTTATTGTCTTGGTCTGAGATGGGAAATGTTGCATTACCCAGGTGGAGTTGGTGTGCTGTAATAGCACTGTCTAATGCAAGAAGTTTACAGATTATTCCCATAATTTCAATTCAAGCAGTCAGAGCACTGAACTACATGAAAATGGCCCGAGTAAAACAGCCTGGGAGACAGAGTGTGCATCTTTACTTCTTCTGCTAATGTGTTGAAGGTGCTCCTGTTTCCTATGTAGCCTCATGTTTTTACTCTCCATCAGTGATTGAGCTATCATGTTAGCATGAAACATCTATTAAAATTCATTTTGTTCTTCATTGCTAGTGACCAGGCTGTCTTTGGGAAGTCTATGGATTTTTTTAATCCATGAGCTCAGAGATGCACCCAAACATCTGACACAATGAACTTGCACCATGCTGCGTATTTACATTCCTTCGTGTGATGAATGTGAACTAAATCTCTCCCTATGACTTTTTGCATGCAGCCTTTTTGAAGAGGATATCATGTCCTACATACCACTGCAGGCTGCCTTCCACCCAGGGTACAGTTTTTCTCCTCGCTGCTCACCCTGTTCATCACCCCAAAACTCGCCAGGTAAGGAGATGGGAAAATTAGAACAAAATCTTGCGTTTGTGGTACTTCTTCTAATAAATAGAACAGAGCAGATTCAGAGCCAACATCAGCTGTCAGCTTGCTAGTTCCAGTGTCCACTCTGAATCTGATCCCAGCTGCTTTTTTTGCTGGATCAGTTTGCAATGCTGCTCTGTGTCTATTGATACACATACACCTTTTGATATTGCTGGAAAGGATTGGGTGGTGTTCTCCAAGCATAAGTCACTGACATGGAAGGACATTCTTTTTATGTGACAGCAGCCAAGAGCACCTTCCAAATTGAAGGTGTGTTGCAGGACTCCAGTACCCCTGTAAAGTTCAATCTCCTCCACTCAGTGTTCCAAAAACTTCTCTTCTTCCCTAGGCACATCAATTTTGAGACCTGAGGGGATCATCTTCATCATCTAGCCTGACCTCCCGTGTTGAACCCATTAACTTAGGTTCGACAGGAAACATATTTTCCAGAAAGACATGCTGTCTGAGAAGGTTATTTCCAGCTGTGCTGTGTCTCTGTAGTTATTGTTTATGCTATAGAAATTTGAGGAGCTAATGTCTCCCTTTTGCCAAGAGACACAACCCCACCACAGTCTCACTGCGTGGCTGTGTCAGTGGCCATTTTGGGAGAATCAACAGAAATGTGATCTGAAGAAATCCATTTTTAGCGGAACTTTTTCGGCATGCATTTAAATTATCTGATTTCAAACAAAATTAATGGACAAGAGAAGTTCAAATCTTGGATGTGGATGTGGAAAATGGAAAGGCTTTTTGATGTGAAGAAGTTAAATGCTAAACCCTTCTCTGCAGGACAACTGTGTTCTGTCAGAATGTCCTATTTTCATTAAAGAGTTTTAGCACCACTGTGAGTACAAGTTCCCCCTGTCTACATCAGGACAGGTCATAAGCAAGTCTCCTTCAGGACAAGAATCCAAGTATATGGCACAAATGTGACTTAGGAGACTGTTCTTGTGAAAACACAAGGACAAATACTCATTTCCAGCAACACACTGTCTTCTTGCTAATTTCTGTCCTGGTTATAGAGCCCATGAGAGCACCCCTTCTCTTATATGCTGGGGAAAAACAGAAGGCTTAGAGAAGAAAGGAGTGTTGCAAGGGATTCTCTTTGTGCTGCATGTATATACTGCAGCATATATATACAGCAGCATTTTCTGTTTTACCAGCTGAGACCGTAATGTCCTTCCCTCATGGCAGCCACGATACTTTGGGCTCCCACTAAATGTGATGGGTTTCTTTTTCTTTCCTGTGGAACATTTGCTGCCAGATTTCTCATAAAAGGCCTGTTTTTTATTGTCTTTTGTAATGAAATAGGTAAATGGGATTTCATTAATCCATTATTTGGCCTTTTATGGCATGGCACTTGTTTATACAAAAAGAATAATCTCCTACTTTGAGAATGCGGCCTTCAAAATAAAACAAGTTCCAAATTGCTGAAAAATCTGCTGTTATGTGTGAATCATAATAGGGAAATGTAGCATTTCCTGCTGACAGAAATCCTTTTTGATGCCACAGAGGGGTTTTGTGTTGATAGCTGGAAGTGTTTAATATACAGTCAGATTAACACAGGGAAACCTGACTCCCAGCTTGGCTGGGCTGCTAGGCTCCAGTGAGAAACATTGCTCTGAGTTTCAGAGGCTTAATCCTGCCAAGTAAGGAGATCTCCTATACAATGCAGAGGAGAGAGATCTCTTAAAAGTGCAAAGGGGAAGGAAAACCTAAATGCCACTGACCATGAAAGGTAGATATGTATGTCAGTCTTTCTCATGCCTTTCTGATCCTTCAGTTTGCATTCAGTCACAGCTAAAGGCAGAGGCAACACAAGGACACACACAAGGTGAGCTTAACAGGACTTTTAGTGAAGAGGATACAGTCCCTGGAAGTTCATTTCAATCACTGAATTACAGGAACTTACAACTCTATGGATGCCAGATAGAGTAAAACTAGCGGTGAGTGCACTGTATACCTGCAGAAAGTTCCTAACACATTTTTTAACCAGTTCTGTGTGGAAACATCAGCTGCATAATTTGGAAGAATGTCAAGCCCCTTAAACCTTAGGATGCTGTTTATTTTCCCTCCTCCAGGGCTGCAGCGAGCAAGTGCAAGAGCACCTTCTCCATACAGGAGGGATTTTGAAGCCAAGCTGCGCAATTTCTATCGAAAACTTGAAGCCAAAGGGTATGGGCAAGGTCCAGGGAAAATTAAGTAAGTATTAAAATCACTCAGTTAGTCTAAGGGGACATAGCTTTGTCTTTTGTCATTCACTATCCATGAGGACAGGGATAGGGAGTGTAAAACACCCTGGAGATTGCATTTTTTTACATAACCTCAGGGAAAGATAAGATCTTCATATACTCTGCAAAAGAGTGACCTTCAAGAGGCTTTTGTGTGGAAGTTTTCTTCCTAAAGATTCGTATTCTCTTACTCTCCCATTTCTTGCCTATTTAACAGGGATATTCATATTCCTATCTATAATTTGCCAGTAGGAGAATTATCCTTCCAGGCAAACACTCACCAGATATTAACAACAGCTATATCATTGTAATGGTGGGATGACTCCAAATTCTTTGGCTCTACATAGCAGTAGATGTGTATAACTCAGGGTATCAGTGTAACTCAGGGCCAGAACAGGATCCTACACAGGTTAGTCTATACATGCAGGCTTAACTTTCTATAGTTCTTTGTGTTGATAGCCCTGCTGGATTTGAACTGGAGAGACTTGTGCCAGTCTTCATGTATTTGGGGTTTTCTGTCATTTGATTGTGGAGTTTCTTTCCATGCATCTTGTTAGCTGGCTTTTGAGTCTGTACCAACTTGTGCTCAGTCTAGTTATCCAACTTTGCCAAAGGCTGTGGGCTGTTTCTAAGGTATTTCCTGGGCATCTGGTTGAATTTATGCCTCAGGTTGGCTTCCTACCAAAGGACATCTGTTGTGGAAAAAATAAAAGTTTGAAGCCAAGCAATTTATTCCAGGCAAATGTCATCAGCAAAATGATCTTATAGAGCTGAGGAGTCCTAGCTGGTGGTTACCCCTTTTGGTGTCCTGCTAAATGGGCACAAGGCAGACACTAAACATATTTTAGAAAGTCTGTTTTAAAATGTCCATGAACATTTGAACATATGAACAAGAAGGGTTTCTTGCACAGATGGTGTGTAAAAGTACTATCCATTAAATTGTTGTAGAGATTAGTAAGGGAATGAGAGATGTGTTGTATAAACAGAGGCTGATAACTCCCTTTGCTTCCCCTGCCACAGAGGCAGTATGTCCATGGACATTCACTGGATTAAATCCAGGAAGTGTTTAAGGCCAATTCCAGAAAGCTGGGACTTCATATACAGAGGGAACTCACAGCCCCCTCTACCACATAAATTTGTACATATGGGTTGTTGCAGGGAGTCTTAGCAGCGGAGCATCACTTTGAACCTAATCACGGCACTGTGAAGGAATTCACTTTCAGGGCACATAGAAAAGCCAATGGAAACCCGTAATGGTGAAGTAGCACGGGCACCAGCAGATGCCATTTTATGAACTTCTCTGAGAACGAATGTCTCTCTTTACAGCTGTTGTTTACCTCCAGCCTCACAGGCTCCCACAAGACCAAATGATCAGATCTTTATTTCCACCTCCCTTTGCAGGTTGATTATACGGCGTGACCACCTGCTGGAGGGCACCTTCAACCAGGTCATGGCCTATTCCCGCAAGGAGCTCCAGCGCAACAAACTCTACGTCACGTTCGTCGGCGAGGAAGGGTAGGGAACCACACAATGCTCTCAGCTCTGAGGCAGCTGCTATGTTGCAAAACAGCAAGTTGACTAATGCTGAACCACTCTTGCTATGTAATGTTTTTTTGGTTTTGTTTTACCCCTGAGTAAGTGATTCATCTTAATCAACGCAAACATTTGTTAAAAATAACAATAACAATAATGCTTCATTTTCCTGTAACACCTTCCATCTAGATGTCTCAAAGTGACAGTTTAAGTGGTTAAATCTATTTTCATCTTGTTTGCTGTAGTTTTTTGGTCAGGCTGGAAGGGAAAACTCAACTCCAGGCCAATTTACACACTGAATCAGTCTGAGCGCTATAGCTAGAGACCAGACCTTTATCCAGTTTGTTACTCTAACTCTTCACAATAGATCTGGTTTTGCTTTAAAAATTTTAGCTTTGCATGCTAACTAATGATCATTTGTTATCCATATGTGGATTTCTGGTTTCCACCTTAAGTGAGAAACATCAGTGCTGTTTAGTCCTTAAAATTTAATTCATGCGACTGGAATCTGAAAGCAATAGAAGTTTCCTGAGAAGGCCTTTTCTCAGGAAGCTTCGTACAACTCTTAAAATCCATGAGCCATTTTTGCATGATGAAAGCCAACCCCTGACCTTTTGTTTGTAAGCATAACCTTTCAAATCCACCCTGGCTCACCTCAAGAGCTATATTGTAGTTGAGGGTTAATCCACACGCTTTTATAATGGAAAGACCATTATGTGTGTGTTTCCAGTGCGCCATATGACAAAGGCATGAAACTGTATTTCAGTAGCTTTGCATGTAAAGTTTCTTTTGTTCAAAAACCATGTCTGTAGGATTTTGGTCCCAAATGTATCTGACAGTACCTGAGGCAACTCTCAACATGTCCAGCAACTGCTGACACTCTCAGCTCTGAGGTGTCATGGCAAGTGAAGGGCTTCTGTCCCTTGTCTCAGGACAGGTTACGTACAGTGGGAAACAGAAGTTGCCATTCTCAAAGAGTATCAGGCTTTTCTCACTCTTACATTTCATTATCTGTGGATTCAATACTGTGTAACAGAGGTCATCTTTCACAGCTGATCTTGCCTCTGGCCTGCAAGTAAAGCATAAACATGTAGCACACTTCAGTTTATGTTTTTGGAATAGCATTCTGGAATGCTAATACTGGCCGAAGTCATATTGTTTTCTGTGTGGCATGGTGTCCTCAGGAGAAATTACAAACCAATTTGATGTGCAAATTCATTCATTTTTCACTGATTGATTTACATCTGAAGATACATTCCTCTAGGGTTTCTGCTGCTTAATGCTAATATACATTCTGCTGGAAGGACTCTAAGATGCCAATTCCCTACTGACGAGTTGATGCTGTATGGCCACGTGATGCTGTATGGGCACAGCTTCCCACAGTTCAAAGAAAAAGGCCATTGAAAATTAACTATAAAGGCTTTATGATGAGTTAGTGTGTTGCCCAGAAATGCAGTAGCTAGTCTCCCATTGGAGGTTTTTGAACATAGACACACCTTGTTTGTAGTTCTCCAGCCATTATCAGGCTTAACCCAGTACATTGATGTCCATGGAACCAGCCCTGGTCCATGGCTGGCACTGGTGGGTCATGTGGGCTTGTTACCATCCTCTTTTACAGGTGTGGCTTTCATGTCATCACATGATCCTAGAGCTAAAGTTCCTCAAAGAGAATACTGGATCTCCCGACATAAAACACAGGAGGATGAGCCTGTCTGCCCTTTGCCATATTTCTAGTTGCACAAATCAATCATTCAGCCCCTTTCACTTATGCTTCTATAACTCCATAGCACAGACCATTCTGATCCAGTTGCAGAGCTTTCAACTTACTTTACAATTGATAAGTAGAAGGAAGAGTATCCACCTCAGAAAATCTTTTGGCACACATGATATATGGCTACAGATAATTTCTTCATATTGCTACATGTAGGTTTATTTTAGATTGAAAAAACCTACTCACCATTATTAGAGAATGATCTGTTTTTAATAAATCCACCACATTTCTTATTTAATCCATTAAGGAAAAAATTTTTAGTCTTGTTTTCCTTTTGTTTTCAAGTTGAGTGTAAAAAATTCAAGGGAAAAAAAGAGGCTCTCTATGGAGCAAATTCATACAACAGCAAAGCTCATTTTAAGGTGTACCACATGAAAATAACAGAAAGGGCTTGGATGGAACAAGCAAGGAATCACCATTCTGTCTTAAGAGACACAATTCTGCTGGGATTTAGTCTTGTTCTTTATGGTTTCTATAGCTAAAAAAGCATCCTTGGGGCTAGATTTGGGTACATCTCAGTGTAGGAGGGTCAGAGCAATTTCTGCTTTAGCCCAGGCTTTGTGGTCTGTGAGCCCAGGTGTTCACAGGCAGTTCAAACCCACTCACTAGAAACCTACCCCTCTGCTGGCCAGCCAGCTGAGGCAAGGCTGAGCCTTGTACATCCAGTTTGCTAAGCTTTTGGAGCACAGGAAAGTAATCTACTTAGTGTGTCCCAGTTATGATTCCTCCCAGATCAGACTGGATATTGGTGAAGTTTCGGCATTGCAACTTGTTCAGGAATCAAGTTTTGAGAGAAGAGATAAATCATGTTAGAAACACTTGACTGCACAGGCTGCTGTACTAAGACAGCAGCCAATGTAGGCAAACCCAGGAAATCCACTCAAATGGTAAGGAGCCTCATTTTATCTTTTCTACCTTTTTCTTTCCAGGCTGGACTACAGTGGCCCCTCCCGAGAATTCTTTTTCCTTCTGTCTCAGGAGCTCTTCAATCCCTACTATGGGCTGTTTGAGTACTCAGCCAACGACACCTACACTGTACAGATCAGCCCCATGTCTGCCTTTGTTGAAAATCACCTGGAATGGTAAGAACATTTTATGCAGAGCTGAACAATTGTTCCAGAGCAATAAAAACATGGAAAAGCAAAACAAAAGCTCCCAGTTTAGACTGGAGTACGTACAAATACTGCTAATTCTGGGAAGAGGTGGGGAAGTAGTTTTTGAAAAGGAAGAGATGAACTAAACCTAAATACAAGATCAGGCTCTGAAAAAGCAGTTGTGATGAAGTGCTACTATTAAAATATCCTGCTTTACTTGGGACTTGATGTTTGCAAACTTCTGTGTGAACATAAAAAGGACAGGGAGAAGAGCTCTGCTTAATCTAGTCTTCATCTTCTTGGTGCCTTTCTAAGAAGAGCCAGTGTGACCTTTCTATACATCACACAGCATTGTGCTTTTAACCTGCGTAGTGTTACCTGAAAGCCACATTGCTGCTGTTCCTACCACAGGCCTTAAAAAAAGCCCAGAGAAAGCAGCTTCCCTTTTCTTCCCTGACAGTGTCCCTGCTTGTCTGGGGCAAGGCCAGAAGAGTGAGCAGATATTTTAGCTTACTAAGTATGTAGACGAATTTCTGATCTTGTTTCTTTATCAAAAGTTCTGAAAGCATATTGTGATGTCCTCATTTTCTCTTTCTGCCTCCAGATCTGTCTGTCTTTGGGAGTTGTTTTCACTTTGGTAGTTTCAGATGTGGTTAAGTGAAGCATAGGCTCCGAGCCCCGGGCATCACTTGGTCCCTTGTGGGATTTCATTGTGTCAAAGAAGTGCTGCCACATGGACTTGTTCCTATGATGGTTTTCTTTGTCAATCTCACTGGCTCCTCTCAGAGATCCTTTTCTTAAAATGGGAGGCAAGCCCCTTTTAAATTGCAAATAGTATGTGTTCCTCTATTCTTGTGAAAAGACCTCCCTTTGCTTGGTTTACAGCAGGTGGGAGATCATGAACAGTTGTGCTGTCACCTCTGTTAAAGTTACCCAGGGGAAAAGGAATGTTGCTTGGGACTGGCATGGTTTCTAAATTGTTGGAATTTTTTTTGTATTATCATTTCCAGCAGTGGAGCTAACAATGATCTTTGCTTTAGAGTGTTTCTCTACTGACATGAGCAGGAAGACAGCAGCTTGATTCTTACAGCTTGTTCACCTCCCACTGCAATCCTGTTCATTAGACATTATCTGGAGCCTTCCTAGTTTTCAAGAAGAAATAAAGTCTGTCCTGTGTCCTATCTTAACAGACAGCATGGATAAACTTCTGATTTAGGAGGCTGTTTTTTGTGGAGCTGTATTTTGACTTCCAGGCAGAGGGCCAGCTAGGCAGGTGCAAACCCATGGTCATTTTGCCCACATTGTGACAAAGCTTTTTCATTGCCTCCTCTGTGTCCAGAGATGGTGTTGCTATGTTATCTCAGCAACAGGTGAAACATGCCCTTGGCTCTCATGTGTTATAAACACTGTCCTAGCAAAGAGTTGCAGTTTTCTTAAGTGATAAATTCTACTGCAAAACATATATGCTGTGTTTGATCCCTTCATTTTGTCCTTCTGTGCCTTGGGAGATTTTAACATGAAAGAGGCAGGTTTTTAAAGGTGTCCTGGGTATACAGAACAGCAGAAAGAACACCTGATATGATTTTCCTGTCGCACTTAGCATTTAATTCAAAAATCAGCAGCAGTTAGACACGTAGGCTGTTTCTCCAACTGCATATATCAATCCAGCTTCTTTCATGCAGAATGTTATTTGGCCTTCAGACATTTTGTTTTCCTATTTTTAAGAAAGATAAATTTGGCCTCTTGGTCTGCAGAAGGAAATAATGCTATGAATGAAGAGACTTGCACATGCAATATTGTAAATAGGGCAAGATTGCATAACCCAAGGGAAAGAGAAACAATCCAGTCTGTGCTTGGAAATACTTCATGAACCTGTTATGGAAATAATTGCCTGAGACCAGCAGTTTATAATTAGCCTGATAGGTTTCATGATTGGCTTGTAGATATCTAGACATTCTAAATGTTTTTATACTGTGTGACTGATCTCAGCTATTCATTTGTAACCCTAGAGTTCTATGTTCAGAATTCTGTGCAGCCAGCAAAGATAGCAATTGGATCAACCTTCTTGAAACTGAGTTCAGTTCTCCCATTAAGGCTTTACAAGCTAACTTCTGTGAGGACTCTGTACTAACTGCCTTGTTGCTGTTTGTTCCTGAGGAATGAGGTTTTCTGGTGTTCCCAGGTTTTCTTCATTCTCATCAAAGTCAGAGCTAGAATTTCTGTTTCTCAGATTTACTTGATGATAAGATTCCAGCATAGCCTTCTCCCTGTCACATGCCAGAAATAGACATCATTTTCCTGTTCTCAAATCTGTTATGAAGCACCAGCTAACATAGATGAATCAGTCTGAGAGTTCCAGGGTCACAGGTAATTAATATTCATAGTCTTTTCAAAGCTTGAAGTCTGATGTCACTCATGAAAACCACACAACCACAATTGTGTTAGATTTGCAGATTTCTTCAACTGTATGATTTTTGGTGCTGTGGGGCTTGTTATTTATGTGAAATCTACCCTTGGCATGTTTTTCTCTATGGTACTTCTGCAAGACCTCTCCAGACACAGATATTTAAAGAAACAGAGCTAGTAAAAAAAAAATGCTTTCAAAATTATTTTACATTTTCTTAAGTGAACAGTGATAAATTTGAGATAAATGCAACAAAATGCAAAGATGTGAAGTTTTATTCATATTGGCAGAATGGAGAAATGCACTGCTCTTTTTCCCCAGCCTAAAAGTTACAGTTCTGCCCCTTTTAGTGGCTTATTTCATGCTTTGCTCTTTGTACAAACAGCATTCAGAGTCCAAAATGAGCACATCAAAGCACAGACTAGTTGTATGTATGCCAAGTTAAGAAAGAGACATAATGACTGGAAAATATTTCTCATTTATGGAGAAACTGAGATTTAACACCTTTCTTGCAGGCTTCCATTGAATAAGACTTTTTCCTTCAGTTAACATATGTGCATACTGAACACACAAAATATAAGCTATCACACATTTTTAAAGTTAAAATATTTTAAATCCCCTTCTATCTGAAAGAACAGGTACAACTCCTAGACCAAAGAAGTTTGATGATATGTTTTTATCTGCATGCTACAGAATGTACCTGAAGCTCATAGCCAGAAAAGCTGCTTTTAATCCGTGCCAGTAATGAGCCATTCTATCTGATCTAGGTAAATGTGTTTAGCTTTTTGCCTAGATATTTGAAAACATCTTCTGAAATACACCCCCACTGCAGGTACTTCGCCCTTTTCCACACAAGTGGGCAAAATGTGGAACAAAAGAAAAAAATGTGAAAACAAGCCCAGCCTCTGCATAAAAAGCCAAATGGCCTAGACAGAAAAAAATCATTCACAGACATTCATTTGGAGATCTGAGGGATCTTAACTTGAAACATCTTTTTTCTGTGTTTTCATTGTGAATTAGTGACAGCATGGGTTTTTGTAATAGTAAGCATTTGTGGACCTTGCTGTGACATTTATGCAGCCAGAGAGCAGCACCCCAGTGCTACAGTTACCTTAGAGGCATTTACAGCTTGCTAATCATACTTACCATTTTGTATCCATCTCAGAGAAGCCCTCTTGTATTTTCTTTGTTTTAACTCATATGAAAATTAATGCATTTGTTTATCAGACCCTTTAGAATGTTGAAGACCTGTGAGTAAAATGTTTTTGTTCAGAATCCTGCTGAAGGCCACAGACATGATATACTCAGACCCAATGCTCAGATCTCCAGAAGTTGTAGGTTATTGTTGGCCATGTTGTCCTAATGAACTCTATAACTTGATGTTCATTTAGAACTGCTTTGGGATAGAACTTTCTTCATTCATTTCCCATAATGAATTTGCTTCTCTCCAGTCCCCCTTCTCATATTCTTGTCTGTGCCACTGAGCAGAGTCAAACAGAAGACTTGCATGTATATCTGCATCTCACTCTGCAGGCAGATGGAAGCCTGGTGCACCCATTCTCCATGCAGACAGGATCTTGCTTTCCCTGTGCTCCCAGTCAGCTGACATGGTCACTGCAACTGGTTGAGCTGAGCAAACACATGCTGTCTCCCATCAGGGCTGATTGCTTCAGGCATGGCACTGCCTCTGTTGCTTTTACGTGTTCTGGCACACGGGCAAAGGCAGCTCCCTTTGCCTACACGATGCTGTGGGGGCATAGCCCCAGCCAACCCCTGAGGAGCCCTTTTATTTATTTTGTGTAAATGAGAAACCACAAAACCAGCACTATCCATCTCTAGCGTGCTAGAGAATGCAGGGTGGGGTTTTTTTCCCTTTTTTTTTGTTATAATAAACCCAAGGAGAACTGAGAATGTTGCAACTTCAGCTGTCTTTTCTCCTTAGAGAGCTTGGTTGGTTTTTTTGCCCCAGTTTCCTTATGAGTTGTGCCTTGTGCAATTGCCCTGCCTGTCCATCAGGCAGATTCTTAATCAGTTTAAGACCTGTCTGACAGGAAGGTAAATGTCTTGAAGATAATAATTTCCTAAAAGCTTTGTCAAACTTGTGTCTGTGAGAAGGACAGATCCACAGAAGAGTGGCTCAGAGAGGTGGGGGGAGAGCTCAGCAGGGATGTGTGCTGTCTGCCCTCACAGCTGGCCAGGCAGCATGTGTAAACCTGACAGGTCCATCCCAGGCACAGGCTGCAAAGCAGGCACATGGTCTTGCTCGGTAGCTCGGGGATGTGAGGCAGAGCTGTGCATGCTCAGGGGAGACAGAAGGGAGAAACTGGAGATACTCCAAAGCCTGGAAAGTGCTAGCAGAAATGTGGAGGAGGAACTGGAGCTGCTGCAGTGTGGTAATGTGGGGCTATCAGAGGCAGATCTATAGGAAACAAACCTCCGATAATCCTTCTACACAGAGATTGACTTATTTCAATTAAAGTGTTTTTAAAGAAAGTGACAAATTGCCTTATGAGCTAATGGGTTGTATTCCAATGCAGACCAGCTAGACCAGCTCATGGGATGGATTTAGGCACAGTCCCTGGCT